CATTTCTTTGAAATTAAAGCCAGTTGGGAATGAAGTGAAATACATTCAGCTCTCCCCTTCAAAGATCTTCTTTGATCTGCAGTCACAGAAAGAATAACCACCCTGACAGAGACCTCTGCCTCAAGCAAATAGCCCAACCTTGCAAAGAAAGCTGTCACTGAAATCAATAAATCCAGTAAACTCCTGTCTTGAGACAATGCCCAGCAACCTTGTACGTTCCACAAATAATCTGCTAGTCTCCCTCCCAAGCCTGATCTGTTTATCTAATCAGTGGCAGTGCCTCTTCCTGCAAACCACACCAAAATGTTTAGCATAACAAGACTTGGAAATACATTTACAACATGTCAATTAAGTTAGAGAACTGAAAACGTGACCTATGGCCTTGTACTGCAACAACACTAAATTCAGCTCACATGAACCCTACTCCAACATGCCTAAAGCTCCCAATACTTGCCATAACCTCATGATGCCTTCTTATCCTTTGATTTTAGCTAGCCACTCTCTCCTAAATACCTTTCCTGTGCTTAACCTTCACCCCATTGTTTGCCCGTGCAACCAGCACTGCATGTGTACACCTATATGAAGCTGCTGCAAACACATTTGTCCTTGCAATCACACCCAGTAAAAGTACTTAATCTCCTACACCAGGCTGTAGTTACATGCCCCTACAAGTTGTACACATTTAAGGTGACTGCCTCTGGTGGCAGAGCTTTGGTTGGGACAGGGAAATGGTTGAAGAGCTATGGGGAAAGCTATGGACGGACTAATCACATAAAAAAAAAAAAAAAATCTATTCATCTTGAGAGCTCTAAAATACTTTACCTATTTTCCCCTTTTCTCCACATAAACGTTTCCCAATGGATAGCAAATTCCAGACAGAGCTAGGCTACTGTGATTGGCTTGATGGAACAGTCTAGACTATAAATCTAAAAGCAAACCAGCAAACCTGTTGAATGTTGGTCTGTATGACTGGCTTACTGATGAAGCTGAGCATTGAACAAAATGGTATAAACTGATGACATCCTGCTCATAAAACCTAGTCTCCTAAAAATAGTCAGAAGAATACAGCTGTAACTCTGCCTGAGAAGGACAGGTTCAGTGGAGAACTCCAAGCAGCAAGGAGCTTCAGGATTGGTTTTACTGCAATATAGACACCATGCTCAAATCTACTATTGCTGCATCGATTTCAACACACAACCTTTGTGATCAATGGAATTAATTGTGGCTTGTAACTTAAAACAGTTCCTTGCTGTGTTGTATGATCCCTGTTCCATTAGGTGCTCTTTAGAAAAAAGAAAAAGGTTAACCCACAGCCTTGTTCTCAAGCATGATTTCATGCTTGGATCAAAAATAGTCAATGGTTAAAGAGTGAAAAGGCGGCATGGAAGGCTGAGAGACAACAAAGCATGAGCAGCCTATTTAGGAGCACACTATTATGCCATAAGACAATGCACAAGGAATATTCTTTCCAACTCTGTTGCTCTGACTGGTTTAATAACCTCTCTGTAGATGCTGAAAAGCACAACTTTATGTTCAGTAAACAAAGAGTGTTACACATTGGACAAGTATTGAGGTCTACATGCCACTCCTGTGAAAGGATGGGTTTTACATACGTCTCTATCACTGTAGATGTACTCAGCAAGAGCACTGCACCTCACCTATCCCATCAGCCACACCTTGTCTAGGTAAAGCTAAGCCTTCACATGAGGAGTGGGATCTGCCAACCAGTAGTAGAGAGACGCTGTTCTGTTCATTACACCTCCACTGGCGACTCCTTGCAGCAGCAGTTGGACAGGATGCTTTCAAAGACGACAGTTGTAGTATTATATGTTACCTGTTTTTCCATGAGTAGTGATCAAACCCCACACAATACAAACAAGTGCACGTGCTGAATTGTGCATGCTTAGATGATGAGCTCAGCCAGCAAATGACAAACAGAGAAATAATGATTGCCTTCTTTTGTCCACCTGCCACATAATCCAGCAGGTTCCCCCCTGCTCTTATAAGAAATGACATTAGCAGAAGAGCTGGAACTTCTCATGTTGCTTGTCCTAATCTTCCCACATACCACTCAAGGCCCATCCTAGCTCTGCCTTACTGAAAAGTAGCATACAGTACTGATGGAAAGGAGATTCAGCAAAAGTTTAACGTTGATTCAGTGGCTCTACTGGCAATTTGGGGTCAGGTGCCAAGGAAAAGGGAGCAGAATGTGTTGACAGCACCAGGAGAGGGCTCCACAACAAGAACTCTCCCTTACTAAGCAGACAGCATAGACTTACTAGGCAGCACAAGAAGGATTTTACCCTGATGTCAGCTGAGTTGAAACCCTTGCTGCCACTCCATACCTAGGCGGAGGGGGCTCTGCAGAGCAGCAGTAGCATTCAGTTATGCATCTCATGGACTTCATGTAGCTCCTGTGGCTGCCTCTATTGTTTGAGGGATATTCTCCCCCCTTTCCTCCTTCTAACAAAGATTCTGATTAATGATCGCTCATTCCTAATTGTCAAATTTCTTTTCCTTCATCCTGTGTCTAATCACCAGTGACAGAAGCCATTACGCAAATGAGAGCAGACGACTTCCCACAACTGTTCTCTTTGGTAAAAGCCTTGTAATTTAAAGCTCTGATTTGTAGAGGAAAGCTGCGTTTCCCCAAGGCGTCCGGGCATCTGTTCCACTTACACTCCAAGAGACTCTACTTCCGCTCCCTCCCCCCACAATTAGTCCTCTGCTTGCAACAAATATTTGACTTTGCAAGGCAGTAATTAGAACTTACTTTGCATGTGTTTGTCACAGTAATAGCCTCTCTTTTACTTTCCTTGAACAAGAACTCCTAGGCAGCTCCAATATAGAAAATCACGCAGTGAGGATGGCAACTTCCCATCCTGGGACACTGACAGGAGAGATGCCATCTCTCAACTGGGATGAGAAGACAAAAATCATAAAAAACTAGAAAAGTGCAAGAAAGCCTTTCAGGCACACGCAGCAGAAAGGTTTAGAGAAAAGCCCTTCTGAAAAAAAAGCCACATACAAAGGCAGTACTCCTTACTGCAGCTGCTGCTATACTTCCAGGAGAGGACATGCATGAACACCAACTGAGACCTGCCAAGAAACTGCCAGTGCTGGAGTGCATCGTCCCATTCAGAAGCTTCGGAGTTGGGAGTAGCTTGTCTATTGGTAACAACTGCTGCAAAGAAAAGCAGCAGCTGCCCTAGCCAGGGCCTGCCCTTTCTCCCTTCCCCTCCCCCCCCCATCATAAAGAGCTGCTTTGAATCTGAAGATCTCACCCCTCATCTCCACCCGTGTTGGGCTGTCCCAGCATCAAAGCCATGTCTGCACCTGATGTCATAGCTTCTCAGTTTTAACTCTGATCCTGACCAGCTGGCTTCCTGGCCTTCTCCTCCTCCAGGCACCCTGAGTGCTAGAAACCACAGAGGGGTTAAAAATGTACACCAGTCTAGAACACCATGCTTTTATATTCTTACAGGAAAAGTCCTGCAGATAAGGCCTACAAGGATTAAGAAATGTGTCACTCTTCTTCAGAAAAAGAGAATGTTTTTCCAAGAAACAGGAGAACTGGGGAGCAAAATAAAATATCACAAGGTAATAAAAACAAACAAGACTAAGAATCTGACCTGTTTTTCAAGTGACACAGTTCTGATACCTCAATTTTTTCTACTTCTTTGCCTGAAACATTTCTGAGCTTTATAGTACCAGCTGTGCATATTACTCAAGAGATATGCACACAACAGAAAGACTATAGCAACAAACAAATGCAGGCAACTATGCCCAGTGGAAGAGAAGCAACTGCGTATTCAAAGAGGTGATGATCCCAGCAGGCACAGCAAGGGAGAATGCTCATGCTCATAGAAAACACACCCGCTAGTCTTTTCTACTCCCTCCACATTTAAACTGTCCCTCGAGGGTGCAAAGAAAGAATGAATGTTACAGAAGCCCAGGGTCAGGCAGCTGTCTCTCTCTTACCACCCTCCAACATCCCTATCCTCTGTTCAACTCTCCACTATTCTACTACACATTAGAAATTTGTTCTGATTTAGCCAAGGCTTTTTCACTGATGATGCTGAGATCACTGCGGTGTTATTACCACCAGAAAGTAGTCCACATCTTCAGGTCATTGAGAGTACTCTACCACCCACAGCTGTGTGCCTCTGCAAACAGGAAGCCTTTCATTCACTAAGATTACCTTGACCAAAGTATGAATTACATAAAGAACCAAAGAGAGAACAAGATGCACATAGGAGAAGCAATTGATAAAGAACTCATTACACTGATAGTACAGTTTGCTCCTTTGGTCCCGTCAGCAACCAGAGCACAGCAATACCACTCAAGTCATCAGGAAAGGAAATTCGTTGCTTCCCTAGCAGTATATGCAGTTGATAAGTTGTTGGTCCTTGGAAGCTACAAAATTGCTTCTGATAAATTCTTTGTGATATTAAGCAAAGCATTGTTGGCAACAATCATATTGTAGGAAAAAGACAACTCACCCAACTGGTGATAAGGCCTCCAGTTACAGAACACCCCCTCTCAGGAAGTAGCCTTCATCCAGGAGATGTTCTCCTTCCAGAGGCTAGCCCTTAAATGAGCCCAGAGAGGGCCCAGCACCCACTCGTTTCAGCCAGGTGGGAGGCACAGGTGAATTGCTTGAACCTGTGCTTCCCAGGCTGGCCACTCTCTTCCCCCCCCCCCCCCCCACACACCCACCCCAGGTGCTCAATTAGTTTAGGCTGTGTCTTAACAGTTCCCTTACAACAATTTTTAAAGATTCCATCTTATACCCAGCTTTCCTGTCAGGCTTATGGGGACGAGCTTGGGGTAAATCATGAAAATGCAGTTGGTAATGCTGTTGTGAAGTTTCTGAGACCAGCAGACTTTACCAGCTAAGAAAAAAAGTGACATTATTAGACCAAAAAGTAACTCCCTATGTACATCCCTTTATGCAGCTTTCATATACAGTCACTCATAAAATAGAAGCCACACAGTTCTGTTGTTCAACATTGGTTGTATTTAAGAACTACACTTCAGAAGGTACCGTGTGTTTGTCACACCCCACCCCCTGCACACACGCACCCCTAGCAGAGAACACACACAGCTTCCCAATACCATGGCAAGGGGCATTGAAAGCACAAGGTGAAAACGGAAGGGGAGAGTCAGTCCATCAGTGCATTGTAAATGAGCTTTCACAAAGTCAAGTGCAGCAAAAACTGTTCAGACACTTTAAAAGTTAGACCTTTGGCAAACAAAAAAGATCCTAAAGTTACATATGTACCATTCTCTCTCCACATGGGACATGAACTCCCACCCTGAGCTCCAGGAATTGATGGTGTCTAACAAGTAGTACTGGAGACTACTGTGTGATAAATAAATAGCACAGAGATGGGATTTCATTTGAGCATCTTTCAAGCAAGGGCAGAGACTTCCCAGATTCCTGGGAAGGCCTTTTTTTGGGCCAGTCAGCAGACTAGCCTTTTTCCCCACCTGCCCAAACACTAAGCATTGAGAAGCATCCAGGTGAGCAACCTTCATTTGGCAGAATCTGCAACAAGTAACACGGCAGTCAGACTATTCTGTGACATGTACATTTTCTAAACAAGGGCTCTGTAGCTGCCAGTTACACTTCATTTGCTCTGACCTGCAAGCAGCCATAAAACTAGCCCCTAGAACCTCCAGTTCAATAAGTCTATCACCTTTGTGCAAGAAAACCTCACAGTTCGTGGTGCATGAGCTATCTCTGCAAAAGATGAGGCCAATGCCAGAGCACTTATCGAGCAGCATCTTCTCAACACTTATCGAAATCCTGTGTCAGAATAAGACCTGAAGAAAGGGGAAAGTAATGGGAAGTCTCAACAACAACAAAAAAATCCCTCACTATTTTCTTTAATGAAAAAAATAGCTTCTCCCATCTATACTCTTAGGACCCATTACAACTGCATTAGATATACAAGTCCTTGGCACTATCTCCAAATCAGGAACAGCACTGCAGTGCACTCTGGGCAATAAAAAGCCAGCCTCCATATGAGCCTAAGGTGTTTGGCTTTTTTTTTTTTTTTTTTTTTTTTTTTTTGCAGCAGAGATGGAAGAAAGCAAAATGATTTTTTAGGGTGACTGCTGAGAACTCAACCAGAAGCTCCTCTTATTCCTCTGCCCCACTCTTGTCACTTCCAGCCATGCCAAGTTCCAGAATGCAAGAAGGATTAAAATAAACTTAATTACAATTAAACAGAAAGCCCTGACCTCTTTCAAGTGACTACACAAGGAAGGGAACATCACACTGGCATGGATTAAACTGATGGACAGGAACCATACAACATCACACAAACATGTGTGCAGCCACACACACTCGAGTTTTTGCAGGTTTGGTAAAAAGGGCAAAATGTCTGAGGAGCTGGCATCCCTGATGGGGATAAAGGAGACTTTGTACCTGTCTGACACTGTATCTCTATAGTCTCTCTCAGCACTACCACAGAATTTTTTTTTTTCCAGACATGGCTTGATCAGTCAAGACTCAAAGACTGGCCTGACATTTATCTATCTCACTTCACAATTCTTCATCCCCTTTTAAAACACTGCAGCTTAAGAGTGGGAGAGAAGTCTTCACTCCCTAAAACTGCTGTCAGATTGAAGGTTTATCTAGACTCCTACAACAGACACTTGGAGAGCACAGGAATTGGTGCTCACATACTTGGTTAATTCACTTTCACCTCTCTACCCTGTACAAAGTCTCAAGCACAGATGTCTTGAGTTAAAGAAACTGAATCATTTGTCCAGTTACTCGCCATACAAGATCATTTCACTTTTTCACCTCTGCTATACAAAAAGGTGCCAGAGTTGAGCACGGACAGGTCTTCTGATAACAAAGAACTGTGAAACCTGTCACTTTCCATTACATATCCACTGCAGGCACCAACATGTAAACCCAGCCAAGAGGCCCAAACCCCATGAGGCTGAGGAAACACAATCGATCCCAGTTCCCCTTCAAACTCTTCTTCAAATGCCTGAAAATCCTGAAGCAACATCTGAGTGCCAGAAGCCATGCTTCTTTTTGTGGCAAACAGAGCAGAGGAAGAAAAAAAAGTTAGTGAGCATGAATCCAGCTTCCAGTAAGTGCAGACTCTTTCTTGGGAGGTTCAATCAGATGACAGTGGAGAATGATCGGGGTACTAATGGTATTGCAGTTCCAGTAGCCCCCTTTATTGTAGTGGGGCAGGGATAGGGATGGGCCAGGAAACCCATCAGTCTGTTAAGTGCTGCGTGCAATACTAGCTCTCAGTATCTTCCATTGCTTGTGAACAAAGCAGCTGCAACATCAGTCACCTGGGCAGCCAGGCATTTAGTCATACCGTCCTTTAATCATCATATTCAACAAGGGACCCACCTGTTGAAAGCAAAAACACAGTTAGACAAGATAGTTACAGAGAAGAGGCAACTGCACAGCATGCTCCTTTCACATCTAGACAGTTTAAGAGTCAAGTGCCCAAGCGCAGAAGATATCAATATTCAACTTCAGATGCCACCAAAATACTACATGCATAGTATTGGTTTGACATTTTTTCCACTTCCCTGCATATGATTTCTCAGAACACGCTATGAAAAACAGCCAACCTTCATCAGGGGTTGCTTTTTGCATGTTAGAGAAGGGATATTCTTCACAGCTAAATCCACTCTGGTCACTGGAGTCACTTGGAAGGCAGGCTAGTACAGTTTTCAAGCAAGACCACTCCTATCTCTCAGCACTGCCTGTTGGGAAGACCTTACGCATGCTACAGTAGCAAGACAATTGCAGGGGACAGGACTGACCTCACATTATTGAACTAAAGAAGAGTTCCTGCACAGTGGTAAGGGATACAGACTATGAAAGCATTTATATTCATATCCAGTATTTTCACTCTCAGATCAACATGACATCTTCAAAAGCATGTATCAGTACTTCAGTCCACTGTTTTTGAAATATCAGTTAATTAAAATTGGGGGGAAAAAAAGTAGAGATGACTGGGATTAAGGGGAAAGCTCACAACTATGGAAGAGTTATTTCCAATTTAAGATATTTGGACTCAGCAGGTAAAAACAAAATCATTTTTATTTATATATACTGGATATTGTTGCTGCAAGGAGACTTACAATAGCTTGGGAGCAACATTTTCTTGATACTGCCCAAAGCCAAAGTACATCTTTCTCCTTAAAGCTGAACAGTTCCTCCATTGCCTGTAGTTTTCCTCTATAGAGTTATAATTTAAGGAGTTTGCACTTTTCAAGCCAAGAAGAATTCTGAAGACAGCACAAAGAACCAACTACGGCAAAAGAGTAAAGCTGTGTTCTCCTACCTGTGCTGTGACAACACCTGCAGAGCCAAATAGCTTGTACCTTAAGTTTTGCATTAGCCTACAACCATTTCAACAGCAGCAACTATTTGGTTCTCATTTGTACCTCTTGTGGACTTCCTAAGGCTTCTCCCAACATCTTCTCAATGTTTCTCATTATCGCCACTTTCTGATGAGCCTTTAATGGATATTCAATTCTCTTTGGGGTCGGGGCACCCTGAAATACCAAAAGTAGCTCACTGCACGCTTACTGAATTGGCAATTAATTCAGTCTTCTCCCAGCCACTCAGCTCTTCACACCACATGAAACACAAAGTAGTTTTCAACATTAAAGCACACAGTTTGTTGCAAAGCAGATCTCACAATGACAGCACGTGCCAATAGAGCTCTATTTGAAACAGTCATCTGCAACAGAGATATCCAAGGTGTAGGAAGGTGCTTGTACTCACCTTGTACCAGAAGTTCACAGTGATGGTAATCCCACCATTCAGGAGAGACTCGATGTGGTGCCACCTGCACAGAAAGATCAAAAGGAAAAAAAAGAACTACTGAGAAGATATTTCTACAGCTTATAGGCAGATCGTTTGGCTGAATGAATTCAGACTGCTCTGGACAAAATTGGCCCTATACCTCCAGCATGAAGAACTCAGAACTTCTGGAGAACTCCTTTATTAAATACAGATCATTTTCTTGCACATTAGTAGAGAACACACACAGCAAGGTAACATCAGGAAGAATTATCTCTCTCATCTTAAAGCAAGGAAGCAGGCTGGCCCAAGATATAACAGAAAATGACATATTTGCTGGAAGAGGCAAAGCAAAATTCTCCTAAGAGCCAGCCCAAGAGTTTAAAGCAAACTTTTTAACCCCGACTTGTTGGTCACTGCGCAGTCCCTCCATCTTGCTTACCAGTACATAGGTATGTACAGCACATCCCCTGGACCCACCACCGTCTCGTAGCCAACCACGCTCCGGAAATTTGGGAACTTCTCATAGTCAGGATTATCAAAATCCACCTAACATAACAAAACATTAAGATACTTAGAAAAACTTCCTGCTGTGACAGTCCTTATTTGGCCACAGAATGAAATTCCTCCCTATCTTTCTTTCCTGGCTTTTACAATCCCATTTCCATCTTAACTCCATAGTATGCTCCTGCACATCCAGAAAGTACTACCAACTCAGTAAGAGTCCTGAAGTTCCTCTCCAAGCAAATCTATCTTTGGTCAAGTGATCTATGAATCAGAATAGAGGAAGCAGCTGCTGAAGACCAGACGTGCTATCAGTGAGAGAAGTTGATAATCCTAGTGCTTGCAAGTCAGGACCACACACAAACAGAAACACCTCCTGTCCTCCCATCTATACTCAGTGTATCCAATAGTTAACAGATCTGAGCACAGGTGCTGCAAAGCTCAGAAGCGCTATGCAGCTTTAACTGTAATACAGATTCTTCCCACACAGCATCTTCACAAATACCCTTGTTCTCCCACGGAGCAGAAAACAGATCTGCAACTCTCACCTGGCTCTGTCTGTCACATGGGTGGTGCACAGGATAAGGGTAGAGGCATTCAAACTGATCAGGAGGAAAAAGGATACACCTCTTGTAACCCTTAATCTGAGCGAAGAAGTTTTGCTGCTCGTCATAATGAGCTGGTGTCACATTCCCTATACAGAGAGAAAAGATAATCAAGACACTTCTGTGCAGTTATGAGAGACTGAAGCAAGTTCTATTCCTTGCTGGAGACTGTAAATACTCTTCCACATATCAAGAAAACTAAGAAAGGAAAATAACTCCAGGAACATTACAATCTGATCATTTTATCAGTCGGTCATTACTGAACAGTTGTTACCCCACACACAATTGCCATGCTGAATCCATATTCAGCAATTTATGCTCTGCAGGATTAGGATTTCCAGCTTGTCTCCATGAACAGCAGATGGCAAATGTTGATGGGAAGCTTTTTCATAAGATAGTCTGTTTAGCTGAGAATTTTTTATAGTCAATTCTACAACTTATTATTAATCTAGAGAAAAGGAGTTTAACAGCCCGATTCCGAGAAAAGTCCAGTAATTCTGCAAGAAAACAAGTAAACAAACCTCCTTGTCATTTGGGCTTCATAATGCAACACCCTCCTACTGTCTCAGGCACTGATTAACGGTTATGAAACTTGACTATTATTACCAGATCTTAAATATAATCAAATCTTAAAATTTGATTATATTAAAATACAGTAAGTCATTTTATACACATCTGTTTTTTCCTTTAGGGTAGACATTGTCACTTCTAATAGAAGTCCAGAAGGCTAACTTCGCTCATCTTACAAACTCTTAGACTGCAGACATTTTAAATCTATGGTATCTGAAGTGTTCAAACAACAACCAGGTCTCAAAATATGATCACAATAATCACCCTGCAGTATCAATTAGAGCCTTTCCACAAGCAGAAGATTACCTCCAGTCATTCCCAATAAGCAAACTATTCATTTTGGTTTCTTCCTTTTTATAACCTAAGCTGTGACAACAGTCCCATTCCAACTGAAAGCTTTCAATTGCTTGCTGGGGAAGAATGCTTAGGAACTAGCTGAAAATCCATCTGAAAGACTTTCAGGAACTCAAACACAGAGTTGCTAACCAAATCTTCTCCCTGACTCATAAGAAGCTACTCACCTTCCATGCCAATGAGCAGCAAGTTAGAAGTCAGTTGACCCCAGCCACGTTTCCCCTGCTGTTTGTTAATCCAGTTCCAGTTGAAGCCAAGGAAATCCACCACAATCTTCCTTCCAACCGTGTCATTCAGAGTTTGCTGCAGGTAAAGTCTGTATTTCCCCAAAGACAGGCAGGAGGCAAATATTAAGCTTTATGATGAACACATCTCTTAAGAAAGACTTCAAAGACAAAGAAATATAACTCCTAGAGATTTTGTTTTAACAGCACTACACATGGCTGTGAAAATGAATGGCTTCAAAAAGATCCCACAGTTTGCCAAATGGTTCCCTGGTACACAGCAAAGCAGAATACAACTCCATATGAACAACCAAAGGGGGAAAATTGGAATTTTAGATCAAAAAAAACACCACCTCACAGGTGCAGGAGGAAGAAGCCCTGAACAGCCTGGCTCACAAAAAAACTCATAAATAATCCTCAGATAGATGTTTGCACTGTAAGTCATCTGCAATGAGCTAGAAACGTGCAGGCTCGTTTCTCAAGGCTCAGAAAATCCAGCATGTTTCAGTTTCAAGCTGTTTGTTTGTGTTAGGCAGACATCACCTACAAACACACAGCACACAGTCAACTTTTCCTCATCTCTGTAAGAAAAAGTTAAGACAATTTACCTCAGTATTCTATGAAAAGGCTGATTTCTATAGCCTCTACCTTTTTATCCTCAAAGCTCCTCTACCAATACCACAGTTTGTCAAAGTCAAGTGATGCATAAGGCCTCCTCTAGTTTCATGAACTGAGGGCACGTTTTAGTAAGCTAACACAGCTTCTGTCAAATGGCAGCTATGCAGGAAGTGCCTATAAAAATGAAGTTTGAAAGGTTTTTATCACCAGCTCTCACTAAAATGTACCCCGTGGAGACCTGAAGAAATGGGGGAATTTCTACCTATCACTTACCTCTCAGCACTCCCTTTTTGTTGTATTTCTTGAAGTCTGTCCACAAACTCAGCAAACTTCATCTCTTCCCTACTTGACTTAGGTTTGAAATTCTTAAAATTGGCCATCTTCTTTTCATCATAGTACAAAAATTTGTGTGTACTGGCACTGTACACTGAGAAGTCCCCATTGCCAATGTTTTCCTGGAGGTAGTCCAGGTCCCACTTCAGGGCAGGATAAACCAGATTTGTATCCGTCAGCACCACTGGCTCCTGGAGAGAAACAGGAAGTTCAGTGATTCAAGGATCATTTAAACTTGAAAACTATCACGTTTGTTACTGCAGCTCTACAAACTCTCTTTTAAAATTTATAATTGCAAAAGACACTTAGAGCAATGACATGCCTTGGCCTGGAGAGAAAAACACACAAAACACAACAGGAAGTCTTAAGTAAGTGGTGGCTGCTCCCACAGCCAGCTCCTAGTAGCAACAGGACAGATTCTGCTATCTATTTAGCTAATCTCTAACATGGGAGGTTAGGCAAACAGAAGCTGGGGACTGTTTCAGATTTGCTTGGTTCTGTCACGTAGCAAGGAAACAAATTCTGCTCATCATTTCCACTCTGACAACTAAAGGGTAAATACTGGCAAAAAAAAGTAATTCTAAATCCAGAGAAAGTGTTTACTGCTTTTTTCATGGAGAAAAACTGCAAAATACAACCATCCAAAACCTGAGATTATAACCTCCCTTCTACCCAAAAAAACACTAGAGAAGTAAGGTAAAAAATGTTATTTGTCTCCTCGTCTACAAACACTGAGAGTCCTAAACAAGAACGACACCTGCTATATTCTCACACTGTGCAAACACAACACCCCTTCCTGCTGGACTGCTGGCCCCAAACCTGGCAATCTTACCAAACTCTGAGCTTGTCCTCCAGAACCAATAGAAGAGCAGCCACTGCAATGCAAACTTCACATCTGTGGCCACACTCACTTCAACAATAACTCCATGCACACGGTTTTACACAGTATTTCCGTGATTTCCGCTCAAAAAACTGAAGTAAATAAAGCAAAAGCTCCTATACGTACAAAAGCCAAGGCTGCAGCACCAGAAGGAATAATAACAAATAACGGAACCGGGAACCCGGCGGGCTACAAGTCCGCACGGGAAGAGGGCAAGCGGGGCACACAGAGCGAAGAAAGCGGCAGTCCCGAGGGACGAGTCGGGAGGCGGAACGGATAGCACAGGCGCCAGAAGAGCCCCGTAGCCCATAAGCTGCCCCGCGGGCTCCGTTCCGCACGGCCGGAGGAGCAGCGCCGCCCGCTCCCAGCCTCACCTCGTTCTCGATGAGCTCCTCGGCGCGGGGGTCGCTGTGGCTGAGGCGCGGGATGGGCCGCGTCTCGAAAGAGTAATGGCGGAACTGGGAATCGCTCCAGCCAGGCCCCGCTGGGCCGTCCCGGCACCCCGCCGCCGAAGAGGAAGAGGAGGAAGAGGCCGCCGCCATCACCGCCTCGGCCGGGGAACCCGGAACTAGAAAAGCGGAAGCGGAAGATGCCCGCCCACGGCAACGCCGGAAGCGAAGAGGAAGGGCACCACGGAGACGGAGGTGGGAATAGAGGCTAACGGCGCCCCCCTGCGTTGTGGTGGTTCTGGCGGAGGGCCGGCCCCGGCTCTCGCTTTTTCCTCTCTTCCTTTCTGTCCTTGCCAGCCACCGTCGGCAGCGCTGCGCGGCGGGGCGATGGCGGCGGCGGGGCGCGGCGGTGTTCTCTGGCAGCAAGCAGCAAGTTGGCTGCGGGCGGCGCGGGCCGCCGCTGCGGCGCCCTCAGGGGCACGGGCGGGTAAGGGGCGGCCGGGAGCGGGGGGCCGCGGCGGGCCGCGGCGGGATGGGCGGCTGCGGTGGGATGGGCGGCGTCCTTGAGGCCTGCGGGCTGTGAGGGCGCCGTGCCCTTCCCGGCCGGGCCTGCGCCCACTGCCCCGCTCCGTCTAGCTTCGGGTCTGACCAAGGATCAACTGCCCGGGCCATACCCAAGAACGGCGGAGGAGCGGGCGGCAGCCGCCAAGAAGTACAACATGCGAGTGGAGGACTACCAGCCCTACCCTGACGACGGCTTCGGGTGAGTTGGGAGCCCCTGCCCCCTGCGGCCGGGGTCTGGCTGCAGCCTGCTGCACTCCTCACTGCTGCGTGCCTGTGGGCTTGGAAGGCATCGCGTGGGTATTGCAGCGGTGGGTGTGTTGGCGTAGGTGTGTGTTCAAAAAGATACATGTGCACGTGGATCCATATATAGATATGTATATGGATATATATTATGTGCTAAATGTGCCAAAATTAACGCAGATTTCTCGAAGCTGTGGGCTTTTGTCTGTTTCTCACAGGTATGGTGATTATCCCATGCTCCCTAATAAGTCCATACATGAGCGAGACCCCTGGTACCAGTGGGACCAGCCAGATGTGAGGCGCAACTGGGGAGAGCCGGTGAGAACACCTGCAACAGTGTTCAGCATCAGTGCTGCTGTTACTGAATGGCATTACATGGGCATCCTTACTGTGCTTGCTTTGTTATTCGTTGTTCAAACACATCCACAAGCATGGGGGTGTTACACACAGTGCAGGAACAGTCAGAAGTAAAGGCTGTGACCATCAGGAGAAACCTGCTCAAATAAAGCATCTGTGTCAACTTTCATTATCTTAAGCTCCTCAAGCTCCTGGTCAGGAGTAAGCACTTCTGTTAGTATGTGGCCTTTCTGTGAAGGACTGGAATCTAGCTGTTATTATTGAGTTGGTAGTTGACTTGAGCTCTTTTTACTAGAAGTAGAGTTTATATAAGTTTGTGATGTAATACATCATAGTATAAACATGCAAGAGCTTACTAGCATGTGTATCACAGAGTAGAGTTTGAAGTCTGTGTTGCAGTGTCTGCAGGAAGCACCACATAGAAAACCTTGTGGTGATTCTGTATTTTTGTGCTGGTCAGCACATGAAGGCATGTATAGGTAATGCTGCCCTTAAGATGGGTAAGATTTTTAGTTGTAAGAACTGGCTCTTGTTACTACTTGAGGTGGCTTCCCACTGCCCTTACTCTTAAGGAGTAGCAGCAGGTGCTTTACCTACTTTGAGGAACCAGCTTCCAAATAGCAGGTGGTTGCTTCTTTGTTTGGAATACAGCTGATAATTCTGTTCAGATGTGTGACTGATCTTTCATAAAAAAAAAAAAAAAAGGGTCCCAGTTTCTACCATGACTTCTCAACTGTGCTGGGGAATAAATCTAAAGTGGAGTGATTATGCATATAAATAAACATTGCTCCTGTCTTATAATTAAGCATGATTGCCAGGTATGAACATAGGATGGAACTTGGAGCCTTGTTTTACCGTAAGCAATTATTGCCTCTGTGGCTTTATCTCCACTTGTGTGGTGGAGATTAAAGGTAACTTCTAGCAGTTTTGTGATTGAGAATGTTGTAAATAGTTCTAGGTAAAAGCAGCTTGAGTACTGCTGGTAAATCTGTATCCTTCTTTGTTCTTGTTATTCTTTAGATGCACTGGGACTTTGACATGTATATTCGGAATCGTGTTGATACATCACCTACTCCAGTTCCATGGCATACTATGCGCAACCACTTCCTGATTTTTTTGGGTACCATGCTGGTCATGTTTGCTGTTGGAGAGATCTATCCATCTTACAGGCCTGTGGTGAGTGATACTCTTGGGCAGAGGGAGGGAAAATAGCTGTGCTGCTTGTCACTGCTGATGGCCAAAAGAGTATTTTCTGCTGCAGTTGGGTGAGTGTGGATGTGAAACCCTGCTGGCAACAAGAGACACTTAATTCAACCTAAGTTACTCTGTTGGCTGGCTCAGTTGAGTTCACAGGTTGTTTCACAATGAGCAGTTCTCATTTCCAGGGAACTAATTTTTAATTTTCTTACGGGATCCATCCTTTGGTCTAGGCTTTCTACTGCCTGTGTGCCCATGTGCATGAGAAATGCCTTTTTGCTCTTCTCTAGCCCCGTGTTTTTCATTCTCTCCAATGACCTGCATCATTTTGAATACTACTGATAAATGAGTCTGAACACAAACAAGCAAACAGTTCTTGCAATGCGTTATCCTCACACTGTGAGATGAACTGTTGGTTGATTAAATATTTCCCTGTTGAAGGGCTTGGGTTTTTGCAAAAAACAACCCAACCTCTAATGTCTGAATTTCCTGATCTGATATTTCTACTGAAGCAGTTACACTGAAATTTAAAGAGTGGCTGACATACCTTCTTTTTTAAGGGGGAAAGGTTAGGGGTCTTAGAGGAGACTGAGGGGGAAGTTGAATGAGATGTTTTCTCCTTACCTCCTAAGTTGCTTGTTTGAATGTGGTGTATTTGCTGCTGTTTTTGTTTTTGTAGGGACCGAAGCAGTATCCCTTCAATGATCTGTATCTGGAGAAAGGAGGGGACCCCGATAAAGAGCCACCAGTTGTGACGCACTACAAAATCTGAAAGCTGCTGGAAGTGCTTTTTATCCTGCACTAGCTCTGCTGGGGCTGGCATCTTCTTTAGTTTTCACTGCAGCATAAGTTAATGCTTGTTCTTCAACATTGAACCACTAACTGCAGTGAAATATATCAATGATACCTGTTGTGCTAGTTGTCTTCTGTTGTTTTAAAAAGGTAAAGCAGTGGCCAATGGAATTAAATGTTATTTGCCTTTTTTCTAGACAGGCTATGATGTGGGGCAAACTTCTGGCTTATAAATATTTTTGTAGAAGGTATATTTGTTAAACCTGTTTATGTTGAAGATATTGCTTGTTACTAAGTGGCTTATTGGAGATACAGCTTGGAATTGAACTAGATCATATAACTTGATGTGAAATGTCTGGTCTGGTTAAGTGTAAGTGCCAGATTTCGGGAGTCTCATTCCATGCGAACAACTGTCCTTCCTCAGTGGTATTTGGCTTTGATCTTTTCCTGCTGTAGATGACTTTAGTGAAGCCTGCCAAAAAAAGCTAGCAAACAAACCCAGCTCTGGCCTTCACTTCAGGTCTGAGAGCACAGGTGCTCAAGCTGTGTGCTACCCAGCCTGAGTTCAGGTAAGGGCCTCCTGTGGTGTTATTCCCTGTTTGACTGGGAAAGTTATGCATAGTTTAATTAAGCTCTTTTATTTTCTAGCTCCACCCTTTGCCATAACCTTTTCCCTCTTTGCTAAAGGGGGCAATGCCTTCCGCATAGGTGTGTGATAGAAGTTCCATTTCCCTGCTCTGCTGTCAGCACCCTGCTGTCATTCAGTTGTGTGCATTAAGGGAAGCGGACATTTACAGGAAACGATTTGCAATTACCGGTGTAAGAAAAGACCTCATAACGGCATTCTAGAGGGCAGTTTGGTCTCTGTGTCATTTCTGTAGGGATGTGTGTGCAAGGAAATGAGGTGACCCAGTCCTAGGACACAGAAGTGTTTGTAAATAAGGCTGACCTCTTGGGCAGTGCTGAGCAATCCACGCGCTGCCTGGCTCCTGCTTTTAAGCTGGAAACAACGGTGCTTTACCTCAGCGGGGTTTGAGTTTTTCGGGTAATTTTTTGAACTGCGGGGACCACGAAACAACGTGTTGTGCACAGGAAGGCGCTCCTGGGGACGCTGAGCGGTAGGCGCCGCGCCGCAACTCTGCCCGCACTCCACCTGCGGCCGAGCCGCGGGGAGGCGCCACTGGCGCGTGCGCAGTGCAGCGGGCGTGGCGCGTTCCTCGGAGGCGGCGTCTTTTGGGCTCCCGGCGGCCACCGTCGTAGGGCTCAGCTGCGGGACCGAGCGGCGGGACGGCCGGCAGCCGGTAAGGGCCGCGGCCTCTCCTCCCCTCTCCTCCATGTCCCGCCTCGCCCCCACCCGGGCCGGCACCGAGCGGCCGCTTCTGCTGCGCACCTCTCGGCCCCGGGAACCGCCCGCGGGCCGACCTCGCGGCCTCCGAGCCAGCCGCCTCCGCCGCTCGGGTCGGCGTTACCGCGGCTCCGTCGCCGCCCCTCTCTCCCGGCGGCACGGCGCGCGTGACCGCTGGGTGCGCCGGGCCGGCCCCGTGCCCTCGGAGCGGCTCTGCGCCCGGCGGCCTCCGCCGCCCCGGTACGTGTGCGCGCTGCCGTGCACAGAGCGTGCCTGGCGATAGTTGGAGTGTGCTCGCAGCGTGACAAGTTTCTTTAGGCGTGTGGCTGGAGCGCACGAAACTCAGAAGTTTCTTTCCGTGCCGCGATGGTGTCGAGCCGAGCCCTGCCCTGCTGCGACCCCGCCTCGGCAGCGCCGGCGATTAGCCGCGATTAGTGCCTGTGCCGCCTGTAATCTGGGTCTATAATAAGCACCTGGTAGAGCTGTAGGCTGCGATGCCGGAGAGCTGCGGAAAGGAAGGAGCGGTGCGAGGGTTTGTGATTGATCCTGGGGTGTGGAGCGTCACGCAGTTTGCGTCTCAGCTCCTGTGCCGTGGCCCTATGGCCTCTGTCGGTTCCGGGGGGGCTGCTTTGCTGCCAGGTGACCTTGGCTGAGTGTTGTGTTCTGCTCTGTGCTTGGTTACAGTGGGTCGGGCTGGCAGCTTCCTTCGTGGGCTGTGCAGGAGGGCAGCATCACCGGGAGCTGTTGAAAGGAGCGGGATGCCCGGGGGCGAGGGGGTGTGGTGTCACTATCCCTGGAAGTGTTGAAGAACCGTGGAGGCGTGGCACTGAGGGATATGGTTAGTGGTGTTGTTAGTTGTTGGTGGTGATGGGGTGGTTGGACTCGATGACTGTAGAGGTCTTTTCCAACCTTAATGATTCTATGAAGGGGGAATGGTTTGATGCCCAGTGGTGTGGGGGACTGGAGAAGTGAGTAGGGCCATACTGACAGTCCTGGGTGGGGAAGGAGAGAGGCCTTGCAGGAGTGGCATCGGGGTTGGTTATTGTGGCAGCTCTGAGATTCAAACAGAAGATAGAAGGTCAGCTTGGTCTTTACAAGTGTTTCAAGCTATTGTAGATAAGGAATTCTGCCCCTGTCAGCACTGCGTGTAATCCATCACGGTATTAGAGCATGTGCTCCTACCCGTGCCCTCCATTTCCCAGCAGTGAGCGGTGCCCGGCAGGGCCGGGTTTGGCTTTGCAGGCGTTGTTACCATTTAAGGACACTGCAGGAAAGCAAGGCTGGGAGAGGCTTTAGGGGAGCACTGCTTCTGTTCTGCTGCTGCCACTTGGGCTGAGATCCGCTGATGCATTGTGTCTGTAATCGGATGTTCCTCTGGAGGAGTGGGAGGTGGAATTGTCATGGCTAATTAATTAAAGGTCGTAAGAAAAGCATGAGCTTTCTCAGAAGTCTTAGGTGCTATTTTGGGAGATGACAGCAGGTGGCAATCTCTCCTTAAAAATTGTGCTGTGGAAGAGTCCGCTACTTGTGGGTTTTTCTCAGACAACCACAAGAGGTTGCTAAAGAGCCTTTTCTTTCTTTAAGGATCGTGGAAGACTCAAGTCAGGGCTTCTTACTTTATGGACTTAGAGCCCAGGGACTTAAGGAAGTGTTCCTGCATTGGTACTGCTGCAATGGAGCTGAAATAGTAGAATTTGCTTTAGGGCATGATACTGTGATCTTCTGGCTTCCTGTTGTCTTCTGTGGGCCCTCAAATCTGTTGGCCCTGCTGCTGCATTGCCTTGATGGCTGGGGACATAGAAGCTGTCCAGTTCCTGTTGTCTGATACTCCTGCAGTTGTCCTGTTGATGTTCAGCCAATTTATTAGGCAAGCCACTTGTTTGCTTTCCTGTATCTGAATGAGTTAGCATGGGCAAGATGTTTTACCTTCCAGTTTTGTTCTAACAGAATTTTGTGAGAAGAGAACAATAATGCTGACTTTCTTATGCAAAATGTTTAGTGCTTTACTGACAAGAAGAGCTGGGCAGTCAGTAAGGTTTTTATGGTTTTGTGAGTTTGTCTTTGAGTTTGCCTGTTAAATACAGATTGTGGCAGCCATCCCTGCAGCCTATCCAGCACAGAGGGTAAGCAGAGGGAGGAAGCCTGTAACATTCACCTAGCCAGGAGTTTGGTGGTTATACTCTTTATTGTTTTACTTACCAGGAAGAGGGGGTCTCTTGGCCATAATGTAATAACGTTAATGGGTCAGCAGGAGGTTGTCATTTCAAAGTAAAGCAGTGAGGCTTGTGTGTGCATCTGACTCCTGCAGCTGATGGAGCTCAAGCAGAGGAGGGAGAGGCAGGGAGGGGACTGATAGGAAACACACCGGCTGTCTGACACCCCTGTTCTGATGGAGTAAGGGTGTTTTTGCATCTTGCTAGCAGATTCCTGAGGCTCCTTTTGGGGATGTTTTCATTCCTCACTGCTGAAAAGGGGAGCAGGCCAGGACAGTGTTTCTCTGTGACTGTGCTCCCTAAAAAATGAATGCTAAAAAGCATTCAAACAGCATGTCCTGGCATGACATGAGGAAGTGGGAATATGTCCTTACCCTTCTGACTGGCGACAGAGAATAAGCTGAGGCTGGAGTTACTAGACATGAGGTCTGAGTCCTAGAAATGCTGCTGACCAAATGTCTCTGCATGGGGAAACTGTCAGTTGGAGGCCGTCAAGATGATGGAAGACTTTCAAAACTTTTCTTAATATGCTTTGGCCAGGCAGTGGGCTGGGCACAGCGAGCTACCTTTATGAAGGAGACCAGGAGGAAGCGTCTGTGTTCTGGTCTATGGTCAAACTCTGTATGATTGACATTTGTTATCCTGCATCTGGACAGAGAGACCACGTGGGCTCGGGATGTGACTAAACTAACAGCCTGGCTAATGGTTATGTGCCTGAAAGGCCTGGAATTGATTGGTGCTGGCTGCTTTCTACCCAGTAGGAATGAGATCCTACCTGGAATAGCAGTTATATTTGTACTCAATGTTGCAGTCTCCTGACTGTGCACTGTTGATGTTTGTCTTTCAATTATTTCGCTACATTATTGCCTAACTGTTTCTGCAGTGATGTTGGGAGGTTGTGTTGCCCTTGTATGGATGTGTGTCTGTCTACTCAGTCTCAGTAAAAAGAATTATGGTCAGAGCTGGGCTTGAAACCCAGTGGATAATTCTGGGTCACTTCCTCTCTCCTTTCTGCTACCATTTACAAACTGAAGCAGAAGGTCAAATGATTTTTCCTTTGGCTTCTCTGAGGTGTGAGAGCAAAGTACATTAATTAAATTGGCATGTGGTAGCATTGCACTTTGTTTTCTGTTGCCACATCGCTTTGCTGTTTGGAATTTACCCTGTCCTTAGATTCCATCTGCTCCATTTTTTCCTATGTGTCCTGACACCAGCGTGTTCAGAGAGAGCAACTGGTGCTTTACAAATACATTTAAGTGAATTTTGGAGCTGATTTAAACCAGCCTGGGCTGAAGACTTGAGTGCGTTGTTTAATTCGGATCCCCTCCCTTTCACTGAAATTCTCCTGTAACTGGAGTATATGAAAAAGCGACATGCACTAAGGAAACTCTGAGTTCAGACAGCAGGAATTGTGTTTTCATTAATTTGTACCAGTAAAACTGTACTAACTCAGGAAGCAGCAAATAATTACTCTCAGTAGAGAGAGAGCTTTTTTTCTTGATACCACTGTAAGGAGTATGCTTTGTTACTGTTGTTATTTTCATGTTGGCTTTGTCTAGCTATTTAACTGCTGTGTGAAATTTCTTCTAGAGCCTAGAAAATGAAGCTAAAGGAAATTGAACGAACTGCTGTAGAAGCTTGGAGTCCTGCAAACAACCACCCCATTTATCTAGCAACAGGTAAAGTTCTTCATGATTCAATAAACTCAGAGTATGAATCACAGAGAGACTTTAAGTAGAGCTGTATTGGTAAAAAGAAAAAAAAAAAAAAAAAAAAACCCAGACTTTCAGGAATTCCTACTTTAATTATCTCTTGAAATTATCTCTTAATATGCTGAAAACATTATCACTTTTTTTTTTTAAGTGACATCCCTATGGAGGTTATTTTTTATGCCTGGCATTAACACCTTAAAGAGCAGTCATTTTTCAGAGGGTGAATACATTGCTTTTTTGATCTAGCTTCTAATTAAGTCTGTATGAACTCCAGTGCCTGCTTGCTATAAAAAATTAAACAAAGTTACATAGTATATCTGTGGAACTAATGCACCCTAATCGTGTTCACTTAAGCTCACTTTCAGTTTGTTGGTTTTCAGTCATTATCAAGTAGCTTGACAGCCAAAGAATAAACTTCTTTTCTTCCTAATATCACTTGGTTTGGTTTACGTTCAGTTTTCAATGCTTCTGCAGAACCATCATTTACAATTTTTATAACCATATTATTTCCTGAAGCACAAAATCACCACGTTCACAGAGTTGGAAGTAGGTGAATTTAGCGTCCATGTGGATCTTACAGCTTGCGTTGTCTACCCAGTGTGGGAAGTAATCAGGCCTGTCTGCTGTCTGTCTGGGTTGTGCAGGGTTGACATATTGTCCTGCTTTTGTTTTTTTTCAGGAATGGCTCTCAGAAGACTACAAAAGCCAACTAAAGTTTGGCTTTTGCCTTAAAAGCAGCATTACTGTTTTTGGGGTAGATTTTCTATTTTGAGTTTCTCTACTAAGACCAGAGTTTTGATTGGACCAAAGGCCTTGGCTTCAATCTGTTTTAGATCAGAAGCTGCAGTTTATTGTTTGTACTGCTTTTTTATGATCCCTTGGGCTCTTCTCTTGCCATAGGCAGTTACAAAGCATCCCTGTTGTAGCTGGGTAATTGTTTGCATGGCAGTGTCTCATTAGGTGATGTTAAATCTATTTTTAACTTTTATTCCCTAAACTGGGGAGAAGGAAGCCATCACTGAGTGACTACTGTTTCTGTGTGGGTTGCAAGGAATGCTTTGTTGGCTTAAGACTGGAGAGCTTTTGTTGTAGGCTAAGTATAAAACTTATGATCGTGACTTCTGGTCAAAGTTGAGTAGTATACAGAAATATTTAAGAGCATAATTTTACCTGGATCTGAAAAAGCAACTGTATTTGTAATTTCAATTACAACTTAATATCAGGAACTGTGGTAGTTTAGATAAGATACATGAAGTATATCTATCTAAAAGAGAGGAAAATACTTGCATAGCAGTGATCCTCATGCCCAGAATTTCTTGAAGAGTTTTTAATTTCTTTTAAAGTCTCAGTTGTACTAGTTCCTGTTTCTGAGGTACTTGCATATGTCCTCTCCCTGAATAGGCACAGCACTGATGATGTGTTGACTACTAAGTTTACTAGTGCCTTGTTTATATATAGTGATCTTGAAAAAGTGTCAGTTCTAAGTACTACCCTTGTACTTCTGCTAGGAACATCTGCCCAGCAACTGGATGCATCCTTCAGTACAAATGCCACCTTGGAAATATTTGAGGTTGACTTCAGGGATCCCTCTCTGGACATGAAGCAGAAAGGAACGCTTCCTGCCTCAAACAGGTATCAGTGTCTCATGCTATTGCCCAGTGGAACTGAAGAGGGCTTTTCTGGTACAAAAAAGGAGAGAGGGGATTTGTTTTCAGGGTATAAAGTGATCTTTTGAATCAGTTTATCTCTGTCATCAAGGACTAAATATTTTTGACTTCACACAAATCCCATTGGAGGTTTGGTAATGCAAAATGTCTTGACTTCCACCAAATACTGTAGCCTATGCCGACTTTATTTTCTTCTTTAGGTTTCATAAGCTGATCTGGGGTAACTTTGGAAATGGGTCCCCAGAATCCTCTGGAGTGATCATTGGTGGAGGGGAAAATGGTGTACTGACAATGTACAGTGCACACCGGATCTTGGCTTCAAAGAGTGATCCTGTGATTGGGCAGACAGAGAAGCATTCAGGGCCTGTTCGAGCTCTTGACTTCAATCCTTTCCAGGTATGTCACATAAAGATACTTACAAACAAACATGGATTTGTTTTTTTTTCCCTTGTATATACAGATTTATTAACTGTAGGAACAGTAGTTAATGTGAAAGAGATGTGCTAGTTGTGTCACAAGATTGATTTGGAACTTTGATTAGGGCAACGCTCACAGCTTTGTTACTGGATTACACAGTGACCTTGATTCATTTTACCTCAAAACAAACCATATCTTGTAATGCCATTACAAGCTGGACCATTACCCATCTGAAGGCAGGACTTTTTTTTTTAATTAGTGTTTAATGCAATGGGGTTTTGATTACGCTTGAAGAGGCTGCAAAATAAGCAAAAACTGCACAGAACACGAGTTCTTGTGGCAGCACAAAGGCAAATTGGTCTGTGAACGCAAACTGTTTTGGGAAGCCTGCCCTTTCTGATGCCTGGAGCAAAGGCTCAGCTAGCCAGAGGCAGTGGCTTCCAGACCTGTGTCAAAGTTTCATGATTAAAGGTATTCAACTGCAAATCTAGTTGCCTGCTAGACAAATTTTAAATAAGCTTCTATCATGGCACAGCTGAAGACATAGAGGCCAGAAACATGCTCAGTTTATAATTTTAGAGGCATCTGTTAAATACAACTCTTATTTGACTGTGGAAGTCTTGAGTTTTTTTGCTTATGCTTATTCTTAGGAAATCTGTCCTCTTTCCCCATAAGCAGGAAATTCAGATGACCTTTTCTTTTTTTTTTTTCTGCAGAGCAATCTTCTGGCTTCTGGAGCCAATGATTCTGAAATTTTCATCTGGGACTTGAATAACTTCACTGTGCCTATGACTCCAGGAACTAAATCACAGGTAAATGAGTTTTCCTCCAGGCAATAGCCCCGCAGTCGTGTATCTCAGTAGGGAAGGCAAAACGTGTGACTGTATGGAATCATCTTGGTGTAGTTAGTCTGTGAAGGGAGAATAAGCTTGACCTTTGTCAGGGGAAAGATGAATCATAACTGATAGGCTTCATTTTGAGGGGGTGGAAAGAATGCTGTAAGGAAGGTGAGGTAGGCTAATAAATTGTGGAACAATGCACTTTGCATGGATGAGTAAGCTCTTTGTGAATTTGCATCGGGTACCTGACCAGTTTGTCTTAAGGTGCAGCTGGGGCATGTGTTTTGGATTAATGATGCTTTATTGTGCTTTCTCTGAGGAATCAATTTACTTCAGGCTTCATGTGAAGCTTTTCATATTCCATGAAGGCAAAATATACCCAGCGTGGCCAGTGAGCCATTTAATGCTTCTCAGCTGTTATTTCTAGATAATTTTTCCTGAGTTTGAAAAGGAATAAGCTGATTATGATCATGTTATTCAGGACAACCATAGTAAACTTGTCTAAAAGCAGGTTAGCTTTTTCTCTAATAAGCCTCGCATTTGTCTCCTTTCCTATCTATCTCCTGCATTGCAGGAGATACAGAAACATCAATTAGCCTTGAATGCTGTACCATTTTCCATCTCGCTGCACTTCTGAAATGTTGCACAAGGTCATTTTTTCCATTTATGTTTCTCGTGGGAGTCAGAGTAAAAACATTAATATTCTCTCAGCTATAGTTTGCTCTAGTCTGCAGCCTGATCTTACATGTTTTGCAGGTTCTAGTTAGTCTAGTGTCAGATCCTGTGATTAGTGCTTCCTCAGCACAGAGATAATAGACCTATGGCCATTTCTATCTTTGCAGCCTCATGAAGATATCAGTGTGGTGTCTTGGAATCGGCAGGTGCAGCATATTCTGTCCTCCGCTCACCCCAGTGGCAAGGCAGTGGTTTGGGACCTCAGGAAGAATGAACCTATCATCAAAGTCAGTGACCACAGTAACAGAGTGAGTGAAGACTGATTCTGACTTGTTTATGACATGGCACCACAGCGAAGCAGTGGCACAGCTCTTGGGTTCAAGTACTTGTACCGTGGGAGCTGTTGTGACTTCTTCTTGGAGCTACAGCATCAAAGCACACTTCTCTCTCTCTTCCTAACAAACTGCAAAAACAAGTTTCCTACCTATTCCTGAAGTACACAGTGCCCTTGTTTTACATTTGTGTTTGTGTCTCATTTATGAGAAGCCTCCTTCATTTTTATCCTAGCTGTCTTCCTCAGTCAACTTTGACCTAGTCATCCAACTTCTATTGGTTAGTTTTTTGGCTGTATAGAGAAAGTAGAAATTCTTGCTTCTCATAGTAAGGTATTGCTAGACTTGCTCTATGTCAAGCATTCTAGGCAAGTTACTTGCAGAAAGAAGTGGCTCTTGGCCATTTGTGCCATTGCCAGCTTGCGTGGCTGAATTTTCATCCTGTGCTGTTTTTGTCCCGAGATGCATTGCTCAGGAATGGCCTGGCACCCAGAAGTTGCAACCCAGCTCGTTCTTTCCTCTGAGGATGACCGCTTGCCAGTGATCCAAATATGGGACTTACGTTTTGCTACCTCACCTTTGAGCCAGCTGGAAGGACATACTAGGTGAGGGCCTGCTTGTCACGTTGCCTTTTCAAGGACCTCCATCTTTCAGAGGCCAGCATCTGCAAGACCGGCTTTGGAGAAGTGAGGCTATTTATTTTAGGTTGTTTTGCTTCACAGATGAGTCTGGTTGAAGCAGGTATGAAAACTTGTGTTTCTGAACTTAAACCAACATGCACCAGCACTTCTTATTGACAGAGTGAGAGAGAGGGCTGACTATGAAGTACCACTGATTTCTTTCCGGTCTGTTTTAGGGGGATTCTGTCTGTCTCCTGGTGCCAGGCTGACCCTGAATTGCTGTTGAGTAGCGCCAAAGACAACCGGATCTTGTGCTGGAACCCCAGTACAGGGGAGGTACTTAACTACTATAAGTACACCTTGTCTTCTTCATACAAGCCTGTGTGCTATACTATGTGTTTGACCCCTTTTTTGTATTTGTGTGGAATGCCAATGTTGTTTCCTCCACTATGTCTTCTGCACTGTTCTTTTTTGGATAAAATGACAATGCTGTCCATATCCTGACTAAAAACAACAAGCAGAGATTTTCTCTGATGTATCTGTGTCCAGAGGTCATGGACACAAACTTTGACTAAAACTTTATTTAAGCAAATCAAGTCTACTCTGCATTCACACAGTGTTCACTATGTCCATTTGTTTCTTTCTCCAAGAGTACTAGAAGATGGGGGGAACTTAAATGGGAGCAAGGATCATTTTTTGTGGTCATTCAGAAGGGAACAATATAATTAAATATGCTTGCAAACTTTATTCAGAGCACAGTGGTTTCACATGTAGTTTTTTACCTGTATCTCAGAATTAACATTTTTGAAAAAGTTATGCTTCACGCTAAATTTAAGCATTTAAAGTAAATCTGTGTAAAAAATTCTCAACATGCCTCCTCACTCAGTGCTGAGCTTCTGGATAAAACGGAAATTTGAACTTTGAACAGAATTTGCTGGGTGGATCTTGGTGATAGCGCAGGGAAAGTACTTCTACAATACTGAACAAAGTACGCCTGCGAGCTTCAGAGTGGATTCACCTCATGGGACAACTTGATGTCTGACCACTTGCCATGAAGGCATGAAAAAAGGTTGCCCCTTTTGTAAAAGACATTACATGTGCTGTTGCAGTTTCATGGGTTTTGGAGCTCACTCCATACGGGTAGCTGATGACTGGAAGAGAATCAGACTCTGAAATGTGTAATTCTTACTGAAGTCTTTTCCCTTTGTTTCAGAGGAAGAACTTAAAAAGCATTTTTAGTACAGCTGGCTTGTCTTTATGCATCCAGATGTAGATTTGCAGAGTCTAAATTCAAGCTAAGGCATTAATGCAGCTTATTTTTAGGGTGCTTGTTTGACTTTGTGCCAACAATTAGAAAATTTTCAAATGATACCAGAACTGGGAGTTTTCAGTAATAAGGACAGGGATTTACATAGATTGGCTGATCTGCTAATTTTAGGGGTAGCATTGGTTTCTTTGCTTTTTTTTTTTTTTTTTTCGGGGGGGGGGGGGGGGGTGAGGGGATTTATTCTTTGAGAGCAGTCTGCATTTTAATATAAGTAAACGCAAGGTTTTATACCTGCAAACAGACAACACAAATAATCATCACACAGAACAAAACTGGGATTCTTTATGCTGGAAAGTTTTCTACCTGAGAGGCACAAAGCAGATACCTTCATTTTACGGACTTGGAGGTTTACACAGAATCACAGGGTTGGAAGGGACCTCAAGGATCACGAATCTCCAACCCCCTGCCACATGCAGGGCCACCAACCTCCATGTTTAATGCTAAACCAGGCTGCCCAGGGCCCCATCCAACCTGGCCTTGAACACCTCCAAGGACGGGGCATCCACAACCTCTCTGGGCAGCCTGTTCCAGAACCTCACCACTCTCTGCATAAAGAATTTCCCCCTGATGTCTGACCTAAATCTCCCCTCCCTCAACTTAAAACCATTTCCCCTCGTCCTACACATATCAACCCTTTCAAAGAGTTGATTCCCCTCCCCTCTGTAGGCTCCCTTTAGGTATTGAAAGGCTCCAGTGAGGTCAAAGGTTGTGGTCAAGGTTGTGTTAGTGAGTTGCCCCAGGTAGGCAAGAAATCTATGAATGGGCCATTAATTGAATTTTGTATTTTTAATTGCTGGACCAGAGATTTGTTGGCTGTAATATCCTTTGTGGTTTGTCTGCAGCTATTGCAATCCTCGTTTCTCGTTCTACTTTTTTCTTCCATAAGTTTTTCTTTCTATAATTTCTGCCCACATGTTCTTGCTCATTACACCTTCTTGCTTATTGACTTCTGGTTTTCTTGCATGGTTTTCTGATGTTCAATGGTTAACAGTAGTTGCAACAATGTTATTGTGCTCTGATACTTAGCAGAACAAAATCCAAAAGTAGCAAGTCAGTTGTGCTCTACAATTAGAATCCCATTGTTAACAGCATTCTGTTGTTTGGGCTAAGTGTGCTACAGTTTTGATCTTGCAAACGCATTCTTCAAGAAGCAAAAATAAAATACTTGTGTCACACTTTTATTCAATAGTGATATGTAAATTAAGAGTGGGCTAGCAATTTGGGAAAAGCAAACTATGTTATATGCTTCAGTCTTCTCTGTTTCTGTGATAGGTGGTTTATGAGTTGCCCATTCGTAGTCAGTGGTGCTTTGATGTCCAGTGGTGTCCTAGGAACCCTTCAGTCTTCTCTGCTGCCACTTTTGATGGATGGATTAACATTTACTCTGTTATGGGTGGGAACTTAGAAGCCCAGCAGAAGACACAGGCTGACAAGGTAAAGGACCCAGAAGTTAATACTACTGGTACCTCTGTAGTGTGGTGGTATGATTTGTTTGTATCTTTTAAGGTTTAGGGTAACCAATCTGTTAAATTTTAGCTGTTCCTTTAGGAAATGGTCTTTCTTTGGAATAAGCTTCCTTTCAAGTGGCTGAGTGACTTGAAAAATGAAACATATAGATCTTGCCTGTGAACCTCTGGCAACCTTACCTTGCCAAGGTTTGTGTTGCTTTCTTTCAGACATTCTAGCCAGCTGCATTTTGGAGCTATGTCCTATGATCTAGTCAAGCTTATCCTTAGCAAACACCAAATCTATTCCAATAATTTTAAAAATAAAGAATGCTTTTAAACAGCATTGTATATATTCTCATCAGCTTCCTAAATGTCAGAAATCCAGATCAGAGGTCAGTTTTGACATACACTCATCTAGGCAGTAAAGTATGGAGAAATTATTTCACTAGCTTTGTCAAAGTAGTATAAAAGCTTGAGAAAGTCTTTAAAACTAACTCATTTGAAAGAAACAGCAATGAGCAATACAGGAAACAGACTGACAACTTTTGACCATGTTTTGTCACTGTCTTGCATAAAACAATTTTGCAACCTCTATTTTTTTATGCGCTGGGTGCTACACTAAGCAGTATTTGTTGGGGAGTTTTGTCTTGCTAAGGAAAACTTAGAAAATCTCTGAAGGTGAAGCTTTGAGAAATAATTTTGAGGACTATTCGGTAATACCTTTTGTCTTACAAAGGGCTTGGTTGTATTTCAGAAAGATGTTCTGTCATTGTCTCTCCTTGCTGATGAAGAAAGTAATTAATTATTAGCAGTATTTTCATTTTTTTTTTTTGGTTCTTAGTCCATTACAGAGAGAAATTGAGTTGTATCTTATCCTTTTCTCTGTCTGATTCTAGATCTCTTCCTCCTTCAACAACCTGGATCCATTTGGCACAGGACAGACCCTTCCTCCTTTGCAGGTGCCAGAGCAAGTAGCTCAAACCACCTTGATTCCACCATTAAAAAAGCCACCCAAGTGGATTCGCAGGCCTGTGGGTGTTTCATTTGCAGTAAGTAAATGGAGTATCCTTCACTGAAAATGCTCCTAGTGTCTTCTAGTGATGTAACCCCTTTCTTAAGCAAAACCTTTTGATCTTCCTGCTGCTAGTTGTCTTAATGTTTGTTTAAGGAACAGTGTGTTTTCCCATCTGGGTAAGCTCTTTTGCTCAACATTTGGATGTATTTCTAACAAGAAAGTGTCCTGGGGCAGAGAAAAGGAGACTAAGTAGAAGTTAACAGAGCTAAGAAAGACTCACAAATCCTGTCTTTGTAGGCTGTGATATGCATTTCTATTCTGTCTTTCTCCTCTCTATTCAGTATTTAATTTTTTCCCCCTTTTCCTCCTAAATCAAAATTCTTTATTCCCTCAGCCTGTCTTGACTTGTTCTCTGTCTAGTGCCTACTATTTGCATGATGGTTTTCATCATTGCAGTCTGCCTCTCAGAAAAGAACAAACAGTACTAAACGGTCCTTCTTCCTTTGTGCCTCTCTGACATTTTCAGTTAGCAATGCCTGGCAACGCATACATGAGTGACGTGCTTACCAGCAGGAGTTACTGATCCTTCATCTGAAGGACTCCCTCTGTGTTCCTGCTGTACACGTACATGGAACTTTGGGTTCTTATTGGTCACAGCTTGGAGCTTGAGTCAGCCTTGCTAAATGAAGAGTTAAGTGAAGTTGTTAAATGTTGTAAAAATGCTTATTTTGCCTCTTTCTGTCTTTCTCAGTTTGGAGGAAAACTGATTACCTTTGGTCTTACCAAAGCTCCTGGGCAGCAAATGCAGCAGACTTACCCCCACCAAGTTTTCATCAGTCAAGTCACTACTGAAACTGAGTTTTTGCTTCGGTCCAGAGAACTGCAGATGGCTCTGCAGTCAGGAAACCTCCTTGATTACTGCAAGGGCAAGATCCAGACAGCCAAGTTGAAGTATGAGGAGAACCTGTGGAAATTCCTAAAGGTAGGATGCCACTGGTGAAGCACAGGGGTCAATTCTGTTATGTGTTTGTGTATGGGGAAATATCAGGACCTTTTCAATAGTACAGCATTTGCATAGTAAACTTGATCTCTGGAATGAATAAGGTGACCAGTTACTGTCTTAAGTTGTGACAAGAGTCTCCATTGCAAGGATCACTGCAACCATGTAGCACTGGATATCTCAAACTGTCACTCTGGGTTTTTATAATCCAGCTTGCCTGCAGTCCTGTGGAACCGGGGACAGGCAAGATTAATTACTGCTATCTTAAACTACAAACCAAGCATCTTAATTCTGTTCAAAAGAATGTTCTGCATGACCATTTCTGCATCTGCAGGAACAGTTTCTAACTGTTTACAGGTATCTTGTCTATGTACAGATTGCTCAGTTTAGTAGTAGGAATAGCCTCAAAGAGTTACTGAAATAGCCAGATCTCCTTGCAAGGTATTAATCGGTCATTAAACCACACAGGTACCACGTGAGCTGGGCTATGTAGAGCCTGAGGGAATTTCTGAGTCTGTCTGAAATCCCTACTCAGAAAGCTTCTCTAACAACTAGTTTATTACTTCTCCTGTTGAAGCCGACTAGGAGTTCATGCAACCACACTTTCATTTTCATCCAAGCTCAGGTTGGTCCATTGTCTCTGTGCAGAGATAGTATCAGCAAATTCTGGGCCATCCAGGAAATTAACGGCCAAGTGCACTAAATGTGCACCTGCATAGACCTCTTGCTTGGTTGCCACTTAGTTGTAACTTTATAACAAGCTTGAATGTTAAGGCAAGCCTTTATTGTTACCACAATTTAAATTCTATAGGTTTTCCCACTGTGTACTGGGTGTACTTGTCATAGTTATTTATCTGTAAACTGAGCTCTAGACTTTGTTGCTGCTAGAAGTAGCTAGCTATTGGCAGTATGTAGATGGGTAGGATTTTATACATTTTCTTCTCTTTTTCAATGTCCTTTGGGATTCAGGTGAACCTGGAGCAGGAATCTAGAACTAAACTCCTCAAGCTGCTGGGCTACAGCAAAGAAGACCTGCAAAAAAAGGTAAGGAGACTTTTGTTAGAGAGAGACCTTTACAGGGCTAAAGCTTCTGCTCGAACATTATAGGATTCCTACTGGAAATGAATACTTGTCCTCATGGTACACAAAGGGCCAAACTGTATGCTATTTCAGTTGAAGGGCGCTTGAGGTATCCCTCAGACTGAAACCTGCTGCAGTGGGTAGGGAACGTAAGCAAGAGTTATTCTGTGGTTTCTTTTAGGACTGCATTAGGAATGCTGGATCAGCCCAGATTCGTTCCTTCTGACCTGAAGCTGTACAAAGGCCTCCTTGTCCTACATTGCACTCAGCAATTCTCTATTTAGATCTTAAATGGTAGAGCTGAGCAAGCTGACACGTGTAACAAGTATAACTAAACCTCTACAGAGAGTCCTTATCCTCAGAGCTCAAAGATGAATTGCTTATCACAAAGAGTGCTTTGAAAGAGGGATGATGGAAAGAAAATCCAAAATGACCATTCATATCTTTTTTTCTGATTGTGCTGGTCAACCGGACCTAAGTTTCCAGAGTTTCTATTGAAATGAGTATGTAGACACTAGTAAGAGTATAGCAGTAGCTTTACTGGATCAGACAAAAATGGTCTTGAGCCCTATTATCTTACTGCCAGTTGATGCTCAAAGAGGTGTATAACAGCAGCACAGCTGTGAGAGCTTCTAGCATCGAGCTCTGCATCTCAGGGTGTTCCTCAGCCAGGAAAGTGGCAGATAAAGATATTACACTAGTTGGAACTGCAACAGCATGGACAAGTGTCTGAAAAGGCTAAATAATGTCTGTTGTGTGGCCAGCCAGGAGTAGGGAGATAGAACTTTTCACACTGGTGAAAAGCCAAGGAATTTTGACTGTGCTGCTATCATGGTTAACCTTTACCTTGTGAATATCTGTTTCTTTTCTAGATCACTTCATGTTTGAGTAATGGAATCCCAGATAAACAGCCCCTTCTTGGGACAGATGATACAAATGCTGCACAGTCAGATCAGGTATGTTCTGTACATATTACCAGTCTGGGAGAAAAAGGGTAGAATGAACAGAAAGGTTTAATATCAACCATAAGTTGTTGGGCTCAAATGCAGGAATCGCATAGGGCAGTTCACAGGCCTGTCAGACTCTCACAAGGTCAGACTAAGTGATCCTAACTGTCCCTTCCGGCTTTAAAACAAATCAGTGAATGATGAAGATGGACTCCTGGCTATTAACACTGCAAGAGGGCTTGTTTGCCAGCGTTGATTTCTTCACGATAAACTTAGCCTTACCCTGGCTTAACTTCATGCTGCAGTTCTGGATTTCCTCTGTGAAGATCCTGCTGTGGTATTTCTTTTGCATTTCTTTCCTTTTCACTTCTTCTATCCTTTGAACTGTATTTTCACATGATTTTGAGAAGGCTGTCTTCACATGCCTCCCAATGCCTGGTTCAGCATCCTCTGTAAATTGTGTCCTTCTTAGGAATCTAAAGCTGCTATCCTCAATGTAGTAATTTTGAACACTTGCTGAGATACTCTAGGGATAGCAGTTGTCCTGCATTCCTATCGAGCACCAAATGTGAATGTGACCCTGCCTGTTAATTATATGCATCTCTTGCTGGGCTTATCTCTATTCCATGCAAAATTGTTCAGCTTGCTTACAGGCTGACCATTGAACACAGGAAAACTAGACAGCAGTACTGTTGTCAATGCATGTCTTACACTGTCATTCTCCTAAGCATTGTTAATAGCAGCACTACTCTTCTTGGTGCCTCAGTAAAACTACACACATTAGTAGAGCAGTGGCAGGAGGCATGAAGGGCTTCCAAGCTGAAATTCAGACTTATATGAGCATTCTCATCCAAATGCATAGCAGTCCCATCTCACTCTGCAAACCTTCAAACTGTTCTGGGCAGGATCTGTGTGCTCAATGAATAAATTAACCTCTTGCACTCTTTGCACAGCTTTTGATAAATTCCAGTGATGATGTAGCTGCTGTTTCCTCCTCTTCAGCCTTCTTTGACAACCTCATCCCACAGAATATGAGTATGTTGGAGATTCCTGTCACAGAAGGTATGTTACCTGAAATGTGTTTTTGCCATTTTAGAAAAAGGGACAGAGGTAACATGAAATTCTACAGAGTCCAGGAAGAATCTGGTCCACTCCAGCAAATGATTATCTTTAAAATACAAGGCCTACTCAGCTGTCATGCAATATTTATATGTATTTTGTAAGTAAATTCTCTTCACAGACAAGAGACCTATTTAAAGTGTAGGAGAATCATGTAGATGATGGAAGACTTACTGTTGAGTCAGTGGAGGTTTTTGTTTGATTGTTTTGGTTTTTAAATGCAAAACCTGATTTGTTTCCAAATCTTCCTTTATTTGGACTTCCATATGTTACTGTTTCTTACTGTCTGCTCTTTAGAACAGTCGTGATCATGCATCTGGATGATGCCCCTGTTGGTTGACTCTGCTTTCTCACCTCTATAGATACTGATGGACTGATCAGCCAAGCTCTTTTGTTGGGAAATTTTGAGGGTGCTGTGGATCTGTGCATGCGGGCAGAGCGATTTGCTGATGCCATCATCTTAGCTATAGCTGGTGGGGAGAACCTCCTAAAGGAGACCCAGAAGCGCTACTTTGCCAAGCAGAAGACAAAACTCTCCCTGGTTAGTGACAGTTTTGTGTGCCCACTGAGCAGGATATGATGTGTGATATCGTGGCAGATGTTTGAGTATATGTTGAAATGCTTAGGCAGGAAGTCAAATGTTCTCTTGGATAGACATTGCATTTTATCTCCTGATAGTTTTATGATGACACCTAGAATGTCTGTTCTCTGTTCCTTTTCATTTGACAGTTTATGCCTTAGCTCCCTATGCTTGTAACCTGTTGAATATACAGCCTCTTTCTAGCTCAACAAGGAGAATCCTAGCTTATTAATTGCCATATAGCAGAGTGTAAGAGGGAATGGGAAAGCCCAGCGCTATATTCACAGTCATCAGTGCTCTGAAGCAGGATATGTGTTAGACAGATTTTCAGTCTTGCCTAGTGCAGCTACTTTCATTTCTCAAATGCTTTGGGCTTTTTCCTTAGAAATATAAGGTACCAATTACTGTTAACATTAGAATGCTGGGATTGGTGAACCCTCATGTGCAGTGAGGTGGTTACTGGGAAGTATCGCTGAAAGGGAGCTGTTCCTGTGGATGCACTTGCTTGAGCAGTCACTCTTAATCTTCAGTGATTGATAGGCCTTCTTTTTCCCTTTACAGCTAGTTTCCTCCATTGTGCAGCAGAATTGGCAAGACATTGTTCGCACATGTGATCTACAGAGCTGGAAGGAGGCATTGGCCATCTTGTTAACATACTCAAAGCGTGAGGACTACACTCAGCTCTGTGGTATGCAGTGTGTTGTGTATATTCCACCTGAAAGGGATTCCCCTCCCTTTTAAATTCAGAGATGGATTATTGACTGTTTGACTTCAGTAGTTTCCTCCATCTTGTTAAAAAGCCAAACATGCTCAGCAACTGGTTGTTCCAAGAAGGCGGAGTTAGGGGGCAATCTAGTGACTGAATCTCACTCACAGAATCGCAGGGGTTGGAAGAGACCTCAAGAGATCATTAAGTCCAACCTCCCTGCTAAAGCAGGTAAGAAATGCTGCTTAGCTGGTGAATAGCACCTGGCAAACAGAAATGACTCGGCACCATTGGAGAGGTTCCATCATTTCATACATGTGAGATGACATCTTGAAATGCAAGAGAACATGGCATCTAATACAGAACAAATTGTAGGGCTGGAAGGTTACCGTGACAGTGGTGATAAGGTCATTCCAGCTTACCTTTATCTCCTAGCTTTTGCTAAACATGGATAATTACCGGGCTATTTACTGTCTCTACCACCAGATGCTACTGTTGCCTGGAGATACCCACACCTTTTTGGAAAAAACAATGTTGAAGTTTCTTGTCACATTCATTATTTTTAAGGGTTTTTCCTTCTTTTATGTGACCAGACAGATGTACAAAAGATGATAGATGCGTAAGAAATGACTTCTCTTTTCAATCAAATTGACTTTGTATTTTCTTAATGCCCGTTTTTCTGTGTTATCCTAGACTTGGATGCAGATTCAAAGCTCTCATTACCTTTTTATGCCAGGACAGCGTGAAATTGCTAAGAGAGGACTGTGAGGGTTAATGAACTCTTCAAAATAGAAGTGTTAAACATCGGCTGTGTTTCTTCCTTTTAGACATGCTGGGTTCCCGCCTAGAGTTGGAGGGAGATGCAACCCTGTCCAATGATGCCTGCCTCTGTTATATCTCATCAGGCAATGTGGAGAGGTTGGTGGAATGCTGGGTAAAAAACCATGAGACTTCATCACCCCTTGCCTTGCAGGTACCAGCGTTATTATGTTGACTTGACTTTCTCTAGGCCAGTTTGGTAACATTAATCTGTTTGCATCATCACATCAAATCATAGAATGAATCATGGAATGGTTTGGGTTGGAAGAGACCTTTAAGATCTAGTTCCAACCTCCCTCTAGGCCAGGTTGCTCAAGCCCTGTCCAGCCTGGCCTTGAATGCTCCTGGGGAGAGGGCATCCACAACCTTATAGGACAACCTGTTCCAGTGTCTCACCACCTTCACAGTAAAGAATTTCTTCCTATTATCAAGTCTAAATCTATCCTCTTCCAGTTTAAAACCATTTCCCCTTGTCCTTTAACTACCCGCCCTTAGAAAATAGACTAGCTGCTGGCTTCCAAAAGACAGTGAAGAGCTGTTTGCAGTCACCAAGGTGATCTCCTTCTAGAGAGAAAGAATCTCCTTCTAGCCTGGACTATGGGCTTACATCTGGAGATGACTTACACTGTTAAAAGTTATGAGTCTGTATGTTTGTGCAGAATACTGATTATGCTATGCATAAACACAGCTATGGATGGAAGTTACAGCTTGCACGCCTGTCTTTGTACACTGGTGGTGTCTCAGCTTCTCTAGACTAAATCTATTATCTGACTGGTAGTTACCTGGGAGTATGTTTGCAACTGGACTGATCAACTGTATAGCTTTGGTTATCTAATGCTAAGGTTATCTAGCTCTTACTTCATCCAGAACAGTCTGGCGAAATGAAGTCCAGTCTGTGTTCTTTGCACTGCAGGTAGAATAACCTTGTATGGGCAAAACCTTGAAGATGAATCAGGGTTTCTAAGTCTTAAGTCAGTATTGTTGCCTGTTGCACTTAAACCAGTCCTTGCTAAGGCTGCTAACCTGTGTTGTGTCTGTCAGTCACTAGAATGAACTAGTCGAGTCTTCGACTCTGACATGTGCTGACAACACCCTCTGCTGTAGAATTCCCTGGTCTTGAAGCCTGCTAGTAAATAACAGCAACAGTAAGGCTTCTTTAGCATTTCTGATTGAAACTGACCTCCTCCCAGTCATAATGATACATACATCATTAAATAGATACAAACTTTGCTTTGATTTGTAGGAGTTGAAGGAGCTTTAAATAACCAAAAAATTTCTGGTCTGTCAGTAGCAGTAGTTTGTCCTAGTGAATTTCTCCTGGTATTGTTGTTATCCTTTCTCTTCCAAGCTGATACCTTGGTCTCCTAGACTTACAGGAGTAAGTACTTAGTAAAAAGATCATAGCTGATGGTAATGTTCTTGTGGTTTCTCATTTTCTTTTTCCTTTACTGTAAAAGTAACTTGTGTCAGGATATGCTTCCTGGTTCCTGATTTTTCTGCACAAAGTGCACTTTAGGAAATAGTTATCAGTGGTACTACGTGGTGCCAAATGGAGTAACTTCTGTCCACATTGGACCCAATGGCAGTTGGAAGGGAGGAGCCATCTGGTGCTTCTCAGTGTGAGATGGGCCAGTAAAAGAAATCGGATTCTAAATAGTCCATTTCTCCCCCTCTCCCTGCCTATTCAGGATCTCATAGAGAAAGTGATGGTGCTGAGCAGGTCCATTGAGATGCTCCGAGGAACAGCAGAACCAATGCCAGGCCCTGTCTTGGCAGAACAAATCACCCAGTATGCCAGTCTTCTGGCATCACAAGGATGCTTGGCAGCTGCAATGAATTACCTACCCAACAGCTCTAAAGAGGTGAGTGAGAAACAGGTTTTTGTAGGAAAGAGTACTATGTGGGGAAAATGATACTTTTTACAAGTGAGCTTGGGGTTTTACTTGTGTCAGGACTTAGGATTTAACATTAATTATGGTAATTCAGGAGTAGAGATGTTTTGTTTTTCTAAGACATAGCATCTGTATTTGTTTTTTTGTTTGTAGCCCCTTTGCTTTGGGAAATAGGAGGGAAACTACAGAACTGTAAAAAGTTCTTGGGGATGTCACTGGAAGGTAGTTTTCCAGGGAAACTGCGTCTAGTCTTGAAACTACCTGATAGAAGAAGTGAATGGAGAGGCTACTTATAAAGTAAATCTGCCCAGTGCCAAAATGAAAGTGGGGCCTGAAGAAGGTATACTGTAGAGATTGGAGGAAGGATTGGTGAGACTTCATCTGCAAGGAAATACGTCCTAGATTCTGTCACCTACAGGTTCTTTCTTTTCTGATGGCTATTGTGTAAGTGGCCTGTTCTGCAAATTGATGCCAGTGCTCTGGATCAGTCTGCTTTGAATGCCTCCCCATAGCCTTCATTTGAGGCTCTTGAGGCAGTTATAATGCATGGTTTGTTTCAGCTCCTGATTGAACAGCTCCGAGATCGGCTCTTCCACGCTCAAGGAGAGAATGTGGGAGATCAGCCACCACCACCTTTCCCCTACGCTCGTGTCAATGTAGGTGTCACGAAGCACACATCTCCAGCAGCCCAGAGGGACTCCGCCCCTGAAGGAGCAGCACACAGAACAGATCGCAGACATCCAGAGAAGGTAAGCCTGTAATTCAAGTGCTTGTGGGAGAAGGAGGAAGGCTACTGGGTTGGGGAAAATGTATGGAGAATTATGAGATAATGCAGACTGCAGGCATTGAGGAACTCACCAGTAATGTCCATTCCTGAATTAAACACAAGGTTTTTGATAATGCAAAAATGGGCTGGATGGCTTCTTTTCATAGAGCCCTTACCCACACGATAAAGAAAGGGATTGCTCTTCTCCACCTCACCCTTGGATCTCAGTAAAACTAGTGCACTTCATCTCAGTTCTTGCACAAGAAATTTGCATTCAGAAGGTTTTGTTTCCATTATTTCATTATTATTTCTTCATTATTTTCTCTGTTTGTGCTTTTAGGAAGAAACAGCATAGGAACTAGTTCCTAAAGGCTAATCCTTGTGAAAGCCTGAGAATATTATCAAGTGTGTGGTTCCCAGCTTCATGAACGAGCTATGTGGTATGAAAGGAAGGGTCATCAAGTCTTGTACTAGCAGGGAAGACAGCACCCAGGCTTCTGCTCTTTGCCTTTTCCTGCCAACCACACTTAAGGGTGGAGAAAGGTCTACTGTGCTCCTGACAGCAGAGAGGCCTCTGATCCAATCCATCCAGAGCACTGATAAAAAACAGCATCTTCTCTTACCTGAGAAGTGACAGAGATAGAAAGTGAGGCTTTCTAGAGATAGAAAGTTTTGTGTGTGTTTGTGTCCTGTATGACTCTGACCATTTCAAATTTATTTGTTTTTTTTAATTGCAGTCCAACTATCAGTCATCATTTGCCCCTTCAGCACCCTCTCAGCCTTCAGTGCCTTCCTTCTTCCCACCTCAGCCAGTGCCAGCAATGTCTGCACCTCACCATATTGTCCCTCCCCAGACCAGCACTAGTCCACAAACAGGTGTCTATTCCAGAGGACCGCCATACCCACAGTATAATGTGGGCATGGTTCCAGCAACAGCTTCAGGGCCAGGTAAGCATTGTCTGATAGCTGGTTCCATTATCCAGAAATTCCTTAGGTTTTCTTAGACTAAATCCATAGGCATAAGTGACTGCTTTGCCTCTTTCTCACAAGTCTGTTTTACTTGCAAAAAGCAAATTAGCAGTCAGAGAAGATTCTCAGCACTTCTGCTTTATCTAGTTCTAGAAACTGTTGCTGCCCTCCTACTGTTAAGCACGTATAGAAATGGAGAAGCCCCTGCTAACTTTGTGGCACTATTTTACTGATCTCGCTTGGGCTATGGGGAATACTCCTGCTGTGGATTGCATAGGGCATGACTTGAAGAAAAGGCTTACTGGCATGAAGGAGAGTATCAGTAGTAGTTTAGACATAGAACAAGTGATGCAGATGCACTCTCTTTCTTGTTTGTAGCTCTGTCACAATCTCAGCCATTCAGCCCAGTAGGAGCCAGACCAGTTGGTCCTGCTCCCTTTCCCAGCCAGCCGCCTCTGTCAGGACAGTCCATGCCCATGACATCTCCTGGTGTTCTGCCATCTGGACCTGCTCTGCTTGCTCCGGCCTCAATCCCATCATCTCAGCTTCTTGCAGCCTGTCCTCTACCAGTGGCAAGCCAGTCTCCTCTAGGTTTTTCATCAGCACCATTCAGCAGCCCCATGAACGTGGGTTACCCACAGGGAGGTCCTGGAGCTCCATCTACTAAACCTCTGCCAGCAGCCAGCCTTCCTCCTCCTCCCATAGGTAAGTACTGCCTGTGTGACCTGTGTGTACAGGATGCTTGTGGATGCAATTTGCTGTAAATAGTGGACATAGGCCTTCTGGGTTCTGGTCTGCCACCTTAAGGGCTGGATGTGATATTATCTGAGGCCAACCTAATACGCATATTGTGCTGAGTCCTGCTATGGTGATGAAATACAGCAGTGATTATGGTTTTATTCAGGCTGTTCAGCCACTCTGTCCCTCAGGCTGTGGTTACAAGATGCTGTCTTTCCAGGTTCCCAGTGCAACTTTAAGCAGTGGTTCACTCCAGAGGCATCTGGTCTGACTGAAAGGGTGGTAGTTCCCAGGGAATGCATGGTGGAAGGCTTGCTGATCTTATCCCCACTTCTGTAACTTAAATGAGAAGTGCAGTTGAAATGCTGGGACAGCAAGGTGGTTCTTCTTTGTACGTGGGATACTCCTTGCCTAGCTTCAAGACAAAATTGTTGTGTGCCGTGCTACAGTTCTCCTCACTGTTTCCTGTTGCCATAATTCCTTGCCCTGGAATTCTCTTCTGGTTTCCTCTATGCACTAAATCTGAAACCTTTCTGCTCTGGGTTTGTGGATTATGTACAGCCTAGCCTGCGAGTTGTGTGGAGTCCTTACAAGCATGATGAAGAAGCAGCACAGTGTTGGTCCTAGTTCCCAGTGAATGGGCATTTGCTCTTTGTTTTTCACATCATCTCAGCTGGTGCTTGCTATCTAAAGGGGTAGGTTTAGCCAGTCTGTTGAGACTCCTAACAACAAAGCTGACAATCCTTTGATCTTTGAGCAGATGCTTTTCCAAGCTATACATATTCTGTGAAATGAAGGAACTGTGGCTTTGAGGTTTGCCTCCACAAATCGTTTGCTGGTTTAACCAAAGATAGCAAATCCCACTCTGTAAAGCCTATGGGGACTAAATGCAAAGAATCTAAAGCTGTTCAAGTTTCTTCTGAAAAGCTAATGGATGGTAGTCTAGGGACATTACTTGCTGAGTAAAAGCTGTTGGTGATGATGACTGTCCCACCCTGCCTTGATTTTCAGGTTTCTTCCCTTGGCTAGATCCCCACATGGATCATGCAGGTAGTACACAGAGAAGTTTCTAGACCCGCTGGGGAGGCAGTGTTGTTGCTTCCTGTGAAACATGTGGGGTGTGTGCATGTTTAGTGTGTGCATGTATGCTCACTGCTATTTGTTGCATGTTTGGGGAGCTGTACAACCAGGGTAGAGCATATACTTGTCCAGGGCACTGGTAAGTGACAACTGTGGGTGTTGCAAGTAAAATGAAAAAAAACTACTGTTACTCATGAATCTGAGTACAGAGAACAGGGACTTCTCTATTTGCCTCCGGTTTTAGAAGAGTTAGAGCATTCTCGATCTGTGTCCCTTCTGCCAGTGGGGCATGGCACCCACTTGGTTCTCCAGGCAATGAACAGTCCAGTGGTTGTAACTCACCTCATTTTCTCGCTGTTACACTCTCAGACTCATGCATGGCTTTGCTTGTGCTTTCCCTGGTAAGACTGAAAGAAAGGAAGTCCAACACAAACAGTGATGAAGTAGAGCTTCCCAAGCAGTCTGGGAACTCTCTTCCAAAGGAAATCGAAAAGTCCTCTTGGCTTTGGTTATATGATAAAGCTCTAATTTGAATCTCCATCTTCTGGGGGAAAGTTGAACTGCTGAGCTTTTTAGGCTGGTGCTTTGTATGGATTAAACTCTTTGGAATTCACTGATGACAGAAAATAGATATCTCCCAATCTATACCAAGAGTAAGAATCAATATCTTATTGGGGTGGCTCTGCAAGGGGCTGATTGTACTAGAGACCATCTGTCAGGCACAAAAGATTATCAGAGAGTCTCAGCTTTGTGTAGGAAATCTGAATACTGAGTACATACTTATACCAGCCAGCAATCCTCACTGTCCTTGCTGTGTAGAACAGAGTCCAGAAAGAGAGTTGTCCTTCCAACAGGGAAACAAAGGGCTCGATGATTCCCTGTTAAAGGAAAGATGGTTCCAAGGCAAGGACATCAAACACTTCTTCAAGCTGAAGATGCCCTGTGGTAATTCACTGCTAAGAAGTTCCCTTCTCCTAGCAGCAATTAGCCCCAGTAAGTACTAATGGGGCTGTACGGCATGCCTGGATGAGCAGTGCAGATAAGTTTCCTTGAGTGTGCTTTCTTGCCTGCTGCTGTCCTGGTTTTGAAAGGTTCTTTTTTTTTTTTTTTTCTTCAACCTGAAAAAGAACTCTAAGATCTTGCAATCTAACCAAACTTCCTGCTTTGTAAACTTCTGCATGCAGGCTCATGGAGAAATTCTCTCTAGTATGCTGAAGGAAGTTCTTCACTCGTAGAAATCCCATGCTCTCAGAGAGCGTCAAGGATAGGGCAAAGGATAATAATATGTTGGCTGATCTCATTTATGGCTAGGATAATCCCTGACTCCATCCTGTGACAGTTGTGGGTTTTCTAGCATAAGTGTTGCTGGAGACCGCTGCCATGGAGCATTCCGTTCGGAATTGATGAGAAATTGTCTTTCACAAGTAGCATAGACAAGGTAGTTGGGTTTTATCCCAGCAAAATGCAGCGAAGTCCTGTCGTCTTGTCTGCTGATTAAGTGCCTGGCTTAAAGACTATAATTTAAATAGCTGTTTCCTCTGAGGATTCAAAGTGCCACTGGACTGGAACAGTGCCAGGGACTGCTAGGCCACAAGCTTGGTGGGGGAACGCAGAATTCTAGGGCACAGAATCCCCAAGCTACAAATAAGTGCCAATTTAATTAAACTGCTGATCCAAACTCATCAGAGAGTGAGTCTTGAAATCATGGGAAAAGGGAAGGCAAAAAGAGGCTGCCAGAATTTTAATAATAAAAGTAATTAAAGTAATGAAGCACCTTTAGCATCTTTCCTCTGTGATTTTTAAAGCCCAGTTGAGGATCAGTGGCTCATTAAGTGTGGTGCTGAGCTCCAGGAATTTTGATATTGCCCCTTAGAATTATGCTGCTTTCTCACAGATTCTTCCCATCTCATGGACCTGAGGTTATTAAGATCAACGTGACAAAAGAAGCACTGGGGTTTTCTGTAGAGATCCAGATACTCTTACAAGACAGCAGCAGACAAGGTAGCTGGAATTTGACCTTAGCAGAATGAAGTGTGCTTGCAGATCTTTTGATGTCATGTGATCTGATAGATTTTTAATTACCTGGAGTGAGGTTTGAGGCTAAGTGCCACAAAAACGTCTCTGAGAAACCTCAAAGTAGTAATTGGCCAAGTCTGCTCCTTCCTAGGTGGGATGCCAACAAATTTTCCTAAGCTTTAGTCCTGAACATCCTTGTGAAAGAGGAAAAATTCAACCCACCTCTGAACTCTTCCTCCTCCTATTATGGCAACCTGTACCACGTTGAAATTCCACAGTGAGGCACTTGTGCAGGCATTATCAAGAAAACTTCTCACCTATAGCACAGCTTTTCCTGCAATATCACAACAGTAGATTTTTCTGTATAGGGAACCCCAGGAAGTCCCTGAACATACATGTGTGTGGAGTTCCACACTGACTCTGAGACTGACTTCTGCAACCTATGCAGATTGTGGAAGGCCTCAGGTAGTTGCAGAAAAGGCTTTCAGTGTGGGAGTGAGGGTGTGCCAGGACAGTCTGATCAGACATCACCTCATGAAGCATGTGTATGTACTCAGCTGTTGAGAATGTAATTAAGAAAGAAAAGCAAGAGCAGTTTTCTGGTCTGCCAAGTGGACCTTAAATTCCTCAGCTGAAATGGTCTGAAGGTACAGTGGTGGGGGAATTGGAGCTAAAGGGAATTTCAAGACATGAATTGCTGCTGTAGCCGTCTTCTCAAAGCCTGACATCTGTGTCTTGTTCGCTCTCCTGACAGCTCAGGAATCTTGGACTGATCCCTCTGCTGCAAGAGGAGGCCTTCAGAAGAAAAAGGTAAGCTTTGGGCTGGTTGTCTTTTAGCCTTGGGAACTCCGTGCAAGAGATGTTCCTTTAAATGCTCATTGTCACACTGAGCCACTCTCATGTTGACCCGTCCAGTTCTACATGATGCGCAACACTGGAACTGCAATCTGAATCATCTCAACTCTTTCCCATCCGAACTTGATATACTGTTATCCAAGGTGGCTGTTTTATGACATGGTTATCATCTGTGTTGTAACACAGTCACTCATTACTTCCCAGACTGACTACAGTCACCTATTGCTAGAAATACTGATTTAACCTTATCCCCGTGTACATGCATTTTTTTTTATTCGGATTGGAAGATCATGGTCAATTCACACCTAACAGCTGGGGGCAGCATTTCCCCTCAGCGCAGTGAGATCTACAGTGATCTTCCTCAGAAGCTTGACACTGGCCAATACGGTACCATGTTGGCCCTGCTGCTCCCTGCGTTGTAGTGATTGCATTGGAGGGCCTGTAAGCTGAGCAGTTTTGTAACAAATGCTCTCAATACCCATTTCTGTTACTGCTGCCTGCTTGCAGGTGTGACAAGAAGCTTCTTTGGCACCATTCCCACCCCCCACTCCTCTTCTTTAGCTTGGAAGAGACTTCTCACCCTTTTTCTGGCAGCATAGCTGGGAACCTGCTTCAGGCTGTGCTCACTACAACAGGATTAGCCTCTTGTTAAAGCCATCTCCTTTTGATCCAGTCCTGTCAAAGTGAATCTATCCTGACTCTCTGGCTTAGCAGGGGCATGATGAAGTGTTTGCAAGAGGATTCTCCCCCCATGTCATGGGATTTTCCCCAGCTCTTGCTCTGCTGGACGCTTTACTGCTGCTAATCTCTACATTCAGGACTCGTGCCATTGCAGAGCCAAGGCGGCTTTCTGAGGACCAGTGCTTTCAGGGGCAACGGATCTCTTTGACTGAACAATTCCAGAGTGGTTTTCTTGCCGTTGCTTTGACTGTTCATCTAGGATGCAAAAAGGGCCCCGTGCTCTTGAGGGGGCTTGAAAGAACAAAGATGTGTTACACATCTTGAGAACTAAGCTCTGTGAAAGTTAGAAAGGAAGTTGAATTTGACTGTGGAGAGAGTAACCAGCCCTCTTTCCTTGGACTTGTATTTTTGTTTGTTTTCAGCACAGATTTTTTTTTTTTTTCTTTCGTCTTTAATCTCTCTTATTTTTTCTGACAGCTGCCTGAGAAATTTGCTCCTCTAGCTCCCATCACAGCTCCAGTAATGAGCCTGCCCACTGAGCCTCAAGGGATCCATCCTCAGCTCTCTAGGTTGCAAGAATCTGGCCAGTCACCCCCAGGGGCACCCAAGGAAGGCAGCCTGCAGGTATCAAGGGGAAGTGCGATGTTTCCCAGCCACCAGCTCCTTGTCAAGTACAAAAATGTCTTGGCTTTTGAGATGCTTATTTCTTGGCAGCTGCAGGGCTTATGTGCCTGCTTCTCAGCCCTTATAAAACATTTCTGCCTGAGTGCTAGAGGAATTGCTAGAATTGCTACCAGAGTTGAAAATGACACCTGTCTGTGACTAGAAGGGAGGCAGGCCAAGACAGGCTGTCAGCCTCCTGAAAGATGGGAATCCACAGAGACCAGTAACTGTACTGTAGTCTGTGCTTCCAGATATTTTCTGAATTTGCCAGAGGGTGAAATTCTTCCTGTTCATAGTTGCAGGAGGGGAGTTTCCCTATTCCTGCCTTTTGTGCTCCTGTTGTGTTTATTCATCTGTTTCTCTCTCTCTGTTAGTATCACCAGCTACCTGCAGAGAGAGTTGAGAAGAAGGAGGTGCCCCCTGAACACCAGGGTCTGAAGACCACACTTGAAGGTTTGGTGCAACGCTGTTCTGCTGTTGCCACTGATCCAGTAAGTCCTTTCTTCTCTGGTCTTTGGCTTCTTTGTCCTTGCAGATGTTTGGCTGATATTTCTGTCAGCCTAAGAGAGGAAGAGGCTTCGCTACATAACTAGGTTATTTTCCATTTGCCTCCCTCCTTTAGGCCATGGGCTTGTCCATCTCATGGGGTTTGAGATGTGTTCTCCAGCAGTTATCCACTACCTCTTCTTGCCTCTCTAGAGCAATGGCTCTGTACTCCTAGCTCTTTGAGGAAAGCAGAAGAAATGACCCGGCTAATTTAGCTTCCTTTTCCATCGTTTTGATGCATAGGTAGTTACTGCAGAGTGGCTGGCAGTACAAGCTCTCAGAGGGAAAGGCCAAGATAGACTGAAAGAGAAAGCCATACAAGCATTGTGTTTGAGTCGCTGTAACTTCTCCAGCTCATCTCTTGGAAAGTGTTCCCTCTAGGGATGGAAAAACCTATGGTTTGGACTTAATAGTCTGAAGCTCTAAGCTGATATTGAATTTGAGTGGCTGGATTGGTAGAGCAATGCAAAACACCTGAGTTCCTAAGCCTGCCAGCCCTGTCCCAGCGTTGCCCAGAGCTAGGCATTTCTATCCACAGTGTAACGTACCTTTGAGTGGATTATCCAAGGTGGAACAACCAGATCTTCAGTACTCAGACCCTTTTCTTGGTGGCTATCTAGAGTACGAAGAATGTTTCCTCCCTTCCTCAAGAGGACTGGGGTTTCTGCTTCTAAGCTTCTGCTTAGGTGAAGCATGGTGAGGTTATCTGAATGTTCAGTGGGTCAGTTAATGAACATCTCCCTAGCTTTGGAACTAGTTGCTCTGTTATGTAGTCTGAAGGCACTATTAGAAGGGACAAATGTCTTGGCTGCAAGGCAGAAACAGGGACAAATCCAGCCTTCTGTTTTGGAGAGAATACATGCATGTATATGTACATTGCAAGGATATGGCCAGTTTGTATCACAGTCTCTGGCTGTAAACTGTCTGGCAGAGGTTGTGATGCTGCTGAAATTGCAGGGTGCTGAGGGGAGACCTGAGTGAGAGCAACCTGATACTGGGAATAGTGTGTTTGAAGCCCTATCTGAGCTAGCAATGTCTGTTTTACTTTAGAAAACTCGAAGGAAGCTAGAGGATGCATTGCAACGGCTGGAGACCTTGTATGACAAACTCCGTGAGCAGGCGGTAAGTGTATGCCTGCTTTTGTTATCAAGCTGTGGGCCTGAGGTGAACTGAGGTGAACTGTGCTGTGGGCCCTGGTGTCTGTTCCAGTGTTTCTACTACAAACCCTCTTAAGAAAGCGAAGGGATTGCAAAACCTTATAATGCTCTTTGATTCCAGCCAAATTTAGCTATTCTTTTTCCTTAACCTTGGCCCGGAAATAGAGTAAGGAAGAACTGTGAAGGGACTATTTGTAGGGTGGTTTTCCTCCTAGGAAGTACACTTGGGAGATGTGTGTGTATCGTATATGTATAGGTTCTAGACGGGGAGGAACATTAGTAAAGGAATGTTCTAGGGGTACTTATGAACCTGATGTATCCTCTAGCTAAGAGGATACTGCTGATGCCAGCTGGAGGGTTATTAATCAAGGCAAGAACTTCTATAACATATATATTTTCTGAAAGTGTCCATTTTATGCCTGAATAGAGATGAGATTCTGTGCTAGATGGACCACTGATCTCCTCAAATACATCAGATATTCATTTAATGTTGAAGTGTCATTACATAAGACCTGTGTTAACTATAACTTAACCTAGGTATTGGATTAATGTTTGCTATGGGCTAGGAAACTGAGGGATGAAGTGGATTGTCCCTCCTGTCAGTGCCTGGCTTTGTAGGTGCTGCATTTGGTGAAGATCAGGTAGAGAGCAGGGGAGAGTGGTATGGAGAGGGGTTTTGTGTCACAGCATTAAGGATGCTGACTCATTTCTGCTTCTCCCCACAGCTCTCTCCAGCTATCCTCATGGGTCTCCATGAAATTGCCCACTGCATTGAAGCTAGGAACTACCAACAGGGTCTCATGGTTCACACCCAAGTGGTGAGCAGCAGCAGTTTCAGTGAAGTGTCTGGTTTCATGCCTGTCCTGAAAGTCCTCATGACCATTGCTGGCAAGCTGAATGTGTAACATGTGGAAGAGCTGGTACACTGCACATGCTGAGCTGGTGGACTCTCTCACCTGTCGATGTGCTGCGGGTTGCGGACTTTCCTTCCGACTCTGGAGAAAGAAGTCTGCGCCTGGAACCGTGCTTGACCAGCATGCCTGGCCCCATCTACTCTCCAGACAGCCAGGAGTCGATATCCTGGAGACTGCTCTCTGTCTGTCTCTCCCTCCCTCTCTCTTTCTCTATTTTCCCCCCCACACCCCTCGAGTCCACTTCCCAGCCTAGGGCTCTCAGTTTCAGGTGTCCAGGTATCACAGAGATCCTCAAAGACTGCTCTGTGTTAGACTCCTTTTCCCTGTTCCCCAACCACAAAGGGGAAACTCCTTCCAGGTTGATACTGCTTTTGTATAGGAGACAAACAGCAGACACCTCAGGCTCTACTCCCTGCTGCTCAGTGGCAGCTGCCTCTTTTGGGACCTAAGCTGGGGTGCCTCTGCTCCATTGGGCTGCAGTCAGGATCTCTCCTCTGGTTCTTCCTTTATCTTCGTTCTAATCTTCAACTCATCTTTTGCCCCTCTGCTCCGATACATGATACAGCTAAAGTTATCTGCCAGCCTACTCTGGGCTAGCTTTGGTTCTCTCTTTCTTCTTCACCCAGTCGTCTTTTCATAAAAAGTAAACAGAAGACAGCTTCCTCAGTATCCTTTTTGCCTTCCCATGAGCTGAAGGCTTGAGCCTTTTTTTTTTTTTTTTTTTTTTTTTTTTTTTTTTTTTACCCCCCTCCTCCCCCTTTCTGGTTCCTGGGACTCTCCCATACAGGAATGCAAGCAGATTGGGATGCTCTGTATATTCCTCCTCAGAGCCAGCAGCTTTGTTTGGGCTAAAAGCTGTGCTGGCTGGCCTTTTTCACTTCCTCTGTGTTAGCACTGTGGGCTTATTGCCAACTGATGATGTCTAAAGGTTTTCTAACTAGGGATTTCCAGGCAGTCTTAGGACTTCAGAAGCAACAGAGATTGTACAGGCCCCTTAAAGACCAGCCCAGACTTGAGCAGAAGGAGAAGCCTCCTGACAAAATAGTAGAAATGTGCTGCAGTAGGAGGCATTGACAGGTCCCAAGGACATGGCTGTACTGACACTTTCCATTACTATGGCATTTCCTCTGAGATAAAATAAGTGAATGAAGAGTGCCTGTCCTGTGGAAGAAGTCTGGGAAAGCAGATAGGACTTTGGGGCACTTCCATGTGCATCTTCTGTTCCTCCTTCCTCACCCTCCTCTCTTTCACATTAACTAGGCAGTGCAGTCCTTGGACCCTAGCTGGGAGTGAGGCTTCTTCTCAGTGTTTGGCTGCAGCCAGCCCCTGCTTCCTCTGCTTGCTGCTTGAGTGATAATGCCATCGTGGGTCTGTGGTTCAGTGACTTACACAATTCAGCCTGTTCTACCATGAGACTTAGGAGGGAGAGGGATCAGAGAAGGGAGGGAGAGGGTACATCTCATTCTCTCCTTTCCAGGTCGAAGTGCCTCCTTGTTGCTGCTTTGTTCTGTTTCTATTACTGCAGTTTGATGCACTGAGAGATTACAGAACAGTGAAATAAAAGCTGCGTTTTGTGATGCTGCTAGTTTTTTTTTCATAGCGTTGATCTGAAGGCAGTTGCCTGTCACGTCTGGCTAAAGGGTTGTTCCTCTCAGTTTTCAGGGTCACCCACAGAGTTCTCAGCTTGGGTTGGGGGAGCAGATTTTCAATGGTATGGGGCAAACCAGATCATGGGCTCTGCTGGTATGGGCAGCAAACATCCTGGTGTGGTGAGACTTCAGGCCTTACCTGCTCCTGGGGCTGCAGGGCCAGAGATCTGTTCTACAGTGACCGTCCTCAGCAGTGACTATCCATCTGTGTCAGGCACAAGAGGGTCTGGGAGATGTCTGGAGTTCTCCTGGGGAATCACAGTGGTTTTGGGGATTTTATATTTCACTTTAGGAGTTGGAAAGGCATCAGTAAGTAAGCAGCCCCTGATCAGATCCTCTCCTGTTGGAAGTCACTGTTATGCCACCAAAGCAGTTATGCTTAAATTAGCATGCTGATCTGACCTCCTTTGCAGAAATCAAATGTATGCAGCTGAACTGTCAATCCTTGCTTCCAGTTAATAACTTCTAAATCTGTTGGCTGATTTCAGGTAATCTTTTAAGGATGTAAGAAGGCTGAAATGGAACATCAGAACTGAGATAAAGTGGAGAGAATGCTGTAATCTTTCTATATGCTGCTAGGTCGCTAGCTAGTATGCTTGTACAGATCAGCCATCAGAAGGCAGAAAACTGAAACGTGCAGGGCTGTATTACACAGCTTGTGGTTAGAGGGCTTGCTAGTAGTAAAGGTTGAAAAAGATTGGATGGGAAAAATTTGAAGACCCATTGCAGGGAAGGGAGCAGAGCTTATGAGGCTTTTAGGGTATTAGAGTGACAGTACATGCATTCAGGGGAAAACAGCCTTTGTTATTTCTGCTTCAGTGTCAGGGAGACTTGCAGAGGTGCAGCAGCGAAGTGGGAGCAGTTGGCAGCCAGTGTTGCCTCCCAGCTTTCCCCTGTCAGAGAGGTGCAGACTGATGATTAAGGACTGCACTAATGTTGCGACCCTTCTGTTGCTGAACAAGCAAGCAGGTAGCCAGTGACATCCATTTGCCTAGCAAGTATACAAGGGTTCTTAGGTGTTCTGTGGTAATTTAACAAACCTGGTAGTTGGCAGACTGCCATTCTGGACTTCATTGTAGCACCTGTGCAGCCCAGCCCTTTCGCTTCTTTAAGTCAGGCTACTTGTAACACTGAGAAGTAAGGATTTTTTTCCGTGTGTTTCTTGGATGCCTTGGACTTCAGTTTCCTCCTGCATGCACTGCTCCTGCCACTCATGGGTTCATGCAGAGACCAGCTCTTCATCCTTCTTTTGCTGCGAGTCCTTTCCTGTCCCCTCTGTCCCACTGTTGCTCAGTTCTGCTTCAGGTGAGCTCCATCCTTGAAATTTGTTAGGGAAACCAGGCAGCGAGGTGACCTGCTCAGAGTTCCCAGGGAGGCTGGTGGCAGACCTCCATTTCTGTGGCCCCGGGGCTTTCTGCTGCCTCACAGGTTCCGCTGCTTCAGTTGCAGCAGGTACCAGTGTGCAGCCATGCTTCCCCCCCATGCGTGCACATGCTGCCGCAGCATCCCTGTGCGGCTCAGCGTGGAAAAAACGTTTTCTGTTGAGTGATGAGAAGGCCTTTGGGTTGACAAAGAACAAAAGAACGGGGAGGCAGGAGGAAGGGTTCCCTGGGCTTGGAGAACGGGGCTCTAATCCTGTTGCAGATAACATCATGTCTGCGGGCTAGGTTTGTGTGTGTTTGGGGGAGCTGCAGGGGCAGAGATTGTTAGGCAGTATTTGTTTGTAAAGCCACTTGCTCTGAAGATAATGCTTGCACTAACTTCTATTGAGGGAGCAGTGTGAGTCCCTACAAAGTCCTTTCCCAAAGTGTCTTTGAAGCCAAGAACCCATTGAAAGGAAGAAAGGCCAAGAGAGGGGATTAGTTTGTTCAGCAGCTGTGAATTTCAGTGGGAGGCTGATGAACTCCAAAGTCTTTGTTGGGATTTTTTTTTGTATGGAGCCCTGCTGGAGGGAGAGACCCACACGGGGGCCGCGGCCTTAGACAAGAAGGAATCCGAAGCGGCAGGGAGCTGTAAGCGGGCCACAAGGACTTTTCCCAAACACTTTTCGGAAAAGGTGTTGTGAAGAGAGCGGAGGGGGATTAGCATGTGAAATGACACTTTCCATTGACTCCGCAGAGGGGAGGGGAAAAGGGCCGGCTGGCTGATTTATTAGCATTTTGTTCCCTTTTCTGTTCTTCTCCCCGGCAGCCCCCCTCCTCCTGGAGACCTCTAAAGAGGTTTGGATTGGAAAAGGGAGCGGGGGGCGCCTGTTTGTGTGTCATCTGGGCGAAGGTGACCACCTGGGAAGCTGAGTGTAAATATTTCTCCTCTGAGGAATGCGCCTTCATTAAACCGAAATGAATACATGGAAGCATCCAATCCCACCGCACAATGGCCGCAGTGCCTTTACTGCTCAGGGCTGGGGAGGGGGACCTCTCCGGGCTCCGACCCGCTGCTGAGGTCAGCACATTTTGCAGCTGCGCCGCCGCCATTTTGTCCCGCAGGAAGCGATGCGTGCTGGTGGGGCCCTGCTCGCAGCGCTCCCTGCGTGCTCCTCGCTCAGGGAATGTGGAGATGGGGGCCGTTCCCGCATCACTGCATCCCGTGGGTGCATCCCAGCCTCGTCCCCGGCCTGCACGGGATGCTTGTGTGGGGTATGGCACGCAGTGGCAGTGGGGGCACAGAGAGCAAGGAGTGGAAGCTCTGCTCTGTGCCTTACACCTGTCCTTGGGCCAGCTCTGTCAGGCAGGCCCTCTCTGTGTCTCTTCACCCTCCTGCCCCAGGATGCAGCCCCAGCACGGGGAAGCAGAGGGCAGGGTGGTGAGCCACGTGTTAACAGGAACCCTGAGAATTGGCTGAGATGATTTCTTGAAATTTGCTGGATTCCTGCATGCTGTGGAGTCTCTTTCTCTGGCGAGACCTCAGGTTGCCCTGGGTCTGAATGCCCATCCCCAACATCGTAGCCCAGAGATGAAGAGGATAGTTGATAACTGAGATTCATACAGACTGCTGAGTGTCTTCCGTGGGTCTGAAATGGGTAACTGGGCCCCTCTGCCTCCCTTCCACCTCCTTTTCCTCTAGGCTCAGGTGTGCTGCAGGAGAGAGCAAGCCCTCTCTTACGGTGGTAGGGACTGAGGTAGGGGAACTGATCAGCTCTTTTTGTGCTGAACAAATGAGCAAGGGGCTCAGTTATAGTCTCCAGAGCTGTAGCTGCATGCATCCACACATGCAATTGGACACGACGGAGTTTTGCAAGCACTTGGCTACTGATTTATTGCATTGGCTATTCCTTTACAAATATTAGCTACAAGACAGGTCTAATGGCCAGTAACTTAACTCTGCTGGCTTCTCATATGTCTAAAGATACTTCAAACAACAAAGTAGAATATAAATTTACAGCCCCAAGGACATCACTGAGGGTGCAGTGAGCTTCCCCTGGGTCTGCAGCTGACAGCCTCCTCCCTCCCTGCCCTCAGCCACGACAAGGGAAAAGAGATGCATCAACTAAGTCTTCCTGCTGCTTGCTTAGCCTATAGAATATATACAATAAGATGTAGAGGAAAAACTGTTATGTATACATCACAGTAACTGTGCAATAAATTAAACTTCAAAGTGCTTCACTTTCCTATTTACAACACCATTAAATAGTAACTGACTTTTTCTCAGACTAGGAGGAAGTATATAGTTAGTTAGTTGACAGGTGAGTGCTCAGCAAGTACACCAGGAGGGGAATGGGCTCAGCTGCCAGTTCCTCTCTGGGAGAAATTGGGGAGGGAAGGTGGACTGTACAAGTGTGAGAGTGTTGGTATGGCATCAGTCAGGGTGGCTGGGGTGAGAAAAGGGGACAGGACTGGTGGCTTAGAAGATTCAAAATAAGCATAGAAAAAAGCGAGTGGCGTGATCCCTTCCTAGGATAAATATTTAATGAGCTGGAATCTTGCTGCACAGGAGAGATGAATTAAGCTGTAAAAGGCAGGAGGTGATGCCCAGGTAGCTGGCTTGCTACAGGAAGCAGTTGCATACATTTTCCTCATAGTGCAGGGTTTAATAAAAGGCAGTACTATTTTTCTTAGAGGGATTCAATTTTTTTATGGCATGAGAAGTCTTTTTAGGGACTACCACCCTGAGTGCTCTGGTGATGCCATCTAAGTTGCTTTCCCAAGTGTTGATCTTACTTGCTGAAAGGACTGAAGCAGTGTAAACTGTACTAGTCTGGGGAGCAGGCAAGCTGAAAAGAGCAGAAGCTACAGAGGGCAGCTGGTTTTTCAGCTGTAAAACTATAGTCACTGGATAGATAGAGTGACCCTGGGGGGGTCCCCTGAAGGGACCAAATCTCACCTGGTTATGTTAACACTTAAGTGCCTTCCCAGAAGTCCTCAGCCACTGCATTACCAGGAAATGCACTGCATGGCTGAGGGGTTGCAGAAGCTCTTCTGCCTTGTCCGAGCCACACAGTGAGGTGATGTTGGATGAAGGGGCCTTGCCTGGAAATGAGATAAAACTAACCCAGAAGGAAATGGTGCCAAGGGAAGTAGGAAGGGAAGAAGAAGAGAGGAGGGGCAGACAGGACCATGGGGGAGCAAGGGGCAGTTAGAGCTTCCTTTTGAGCTTGCGGCTGGCCCCGCCACCCCCGCTCCGCTCCCGCTTCTCTTTGCGGACACAGAAGTACTTGGTGACCCGTTTGCGGCACTGCTCACAGCGCACAGCACAGCACCAGTGGAACTTGCAGTTGCAGCTGGACACCATCTCAGCCCGTCTCTCCTCCACCGCCAGCCCACAGTCCCCACACAGCCGCCGGCAGCTCCGCTTTTCCCACTTGCTGAGTGCCTTGCCTCTCTTCAGACACTCCCGGCCCTCCGTGCCCAGCAGCCCCAGCGTCTTGTTCTCCAGGCAGTAGTCAGGAGAGTCTTCTAAATGGACCAGCTCCTTCTTGGAGATCGAGCTGA